GTAGAAAAGACTGAAAAATATAATTCACATATAATTCTTTTAAATTCGGTTGATTAGACTTAGCTTTATATGCGATCAAAATTATGGATCTTTGGCGCTCCTCTACCTCGCGAGGTGCTCCTCTACCTCGCGAGGCGCTCCTTTGTTTCGCGAGGTGCTTCCCTTGCCGCGCGAAACACTCCACTACCTCGCGAGGAGCTCCGCTACTTAGCATACATAAAAATTATATATGAAATAGGGGTAGAAAAGACTAAAAAATATAATTCATATATAATTTTTTTAAATTCGTTGATTAGACTTAGCTTTATATGCGATCAAAGTTATGGATCTTTGATCGCGTATAAAGCTGGGTCTAATCAACCAAATCTTAAAAAATTATATATGAAATAGGGGTAGAAAAAACTGAGAAATATAATAAAATTAGAAATAGATCGATATCTTCAAATTTGCGGAAGTTGGAGCAAGCTCGGACATCAAATCTGCACATACGTACATATATACGTACGGACATGCGATTTTAATGCAATGTTTCGACATTTTAGAATACTCTGAACATATTAACTTAAGCAAATTTGGAGATATCTATCTATTTCTAATTTTATTATATTTTTCAGTTTTTTCTACTCCTATTTTATATATAATTTTTTTAAATTCGGTTGATTAGACTCAGCTTTATATCCGATCAAAATTATGGATTTTTGGCGCTCCTCTACCTCGTGAGACGCTCCTTTGCCTCGCGAGATGCTTCTCTTGCCTCGCGAAACACTCCTCTACCTCGCGAGACGCTCCTTTGCCTCGCGAGGGAAGCTTCCCTTGCCTCGCGAAACCCTCCTCTTATCTCGCGAGACGCTCCTTTGCCTCGCGAGATGCTTCCTTTGCCTCGCGAATCCCTTCTCTTATCTCGCGAGACGCTCCTTTGCCTCGCGAGATGCTTTCCTTGTTTCGCGAAACCCTCCTTTTATCTCGCGAGACGCTCCTTTGCCTCGCGAGATGCTTCCCTTGCCTCGCGAAACACTTTTCTACCTCGCGAGGTGCTTCGCTACTTAGCTTTATATGCGATCAAAATTTATACAATATATAAATTGCATCTATGCATACAAGACAATATTTTCAAAAATTTGACTTACACCACTATGGCTTTTACCCGTCCATATGTAACATTATTTATAAGAAAATTATATTGTAATAAGGAATTATAAGGAAACGTGTAATAAATTTGAAATTGTATGATACTAATGCCGGATATATTATACGAAATCAACATAAGACGATTTCTTAATAGATAATAACGGTGTTTATTCTTTATCTATAGAATTTCACATTTTAAAAATTATCGTTAATTATTATAATTTTCACATAAATGTGAAGGTTTGAATCAACGCTCAAATAATAGCTTCTTGCTTGCAAAATTTGACATTTATCTGAAAATTAAAATTATAAAATTACGATTATATTTTTCAAAATTATGAGATACAAAGTTCGTAATAATTTTGAAGAATGTAATCTTAATTTTGTAATTTTAATTATCGTAATTCGTTATTAATTGGAATACGCAAGATGGAAGCGCGGCCGCCGCGGCCAGAATATCCCCTCCAGCTGGCTAGTTCGGCTTCGGCACGAACCTAGCACGGACGCAAACCATGTGCGGTTACCGAGCGATACGACGTAGTTGAGTTGCATTTTCTCAGGCGGCGCGTCGAAAAATGCAACACAGCAACACACGAAAAAGGCCGGGATGGCCTCTCTCAGGTTTTTCTCTGGCTAAACAATTACGAGTAAAAAAAGTATACACGACGGTGCTAAGAAATTAAGCAATTACATTAAACGGACAAAAATTTTCTGCACTCTGCATGAATCATCGAAAAAGAAATAATTTAATGTTATATCTCTAGTCATCACTACGAATTTATCGCGCACAGAGGTTAGGCTGGTTAGGCCTTTTTCTTTTCTCGTTATTTTCCCGCCAATCCCACTTTCGAATCTAAAGTCCGCATCATACTGCACGTACTACGCATTGCGCATGCCGGATTGTGGAGATTGGAGTTTGACCAATCAGATGTCTGTAATCTCAGTGTGCTTTATTCCGATTGGTTGAATTCTTATTTCTAGCGAATCGTGCGATATGAACACAAGTATATACTGTAATATGGACTTGATGGTTATGGCAGGTTATGGAAACGTCTGAAATCCTATCCGATTGATAATAATAATTGATCAAATAGCGAGATATACAAACGTAACGAATAATTGTTGAAATGTTCAAAGGATTTCATTAGAAAATTCCAAGAATTACTTGAAAGTGTAATCTGATAGTTCCTTATTTAATTCATGGATCTATCACTTGAATGTTTTCGTCAAACAGTGTAATAGGTTAGTAAATCATACGTATCGTAAATTTTTTGATACTAGTACGTTGTACGTTTCATTAAAAATATGTTAATTATATCTCATCATTCCACTCTCTTTTTTGTAATTTGTTACATATTTCTATATGTTTGTTATTACAAATAATTATAAATCGCTTTATCGTGAATGTGTTTGTGTTTTTAATAAACAAACAAGAAATTGTTTTTCTGGCAAACGATGATACCGTTGGATAATACCGTTTTATATCTTATCGAGATATCTTATATATTTTTATATTAAGAGATTTTTTTTTACATGTTTCAGGTATATAATATGCTATAGAGTAGAGGTGAAACACAAATATATACTCAGTATATCACTAACGATTATTCGATCAACTTAGGATATATCTGTCTTAGAAAAGGGACGAAAAATGCAGTCACCTAATACGAAAAAGTCACTTTTGGGAGGAAACGTTACCTACTGTGTCATATTACCATTAATTATAGGACTTCACATAGGTTGGTTTACCTTGCAACAACGTTATGTTCCAGTAACTGAAAGACACGACCATCCGCTAGTCAGATTATACAAGAAATTTACTACATGATAATGCAATGTACATGAGTTTTAATTTGTTTTTGTAAAAAAAAATGTTTATCTTTAGAAATTAATATACTCTAATTATAGTAAAACAGTTGATGGTTATGTTTTAAATTGGAATCTTCTTAGTTTTTCTTCCACGGTCCTCTAAAATTTTAAGAATTGTGAATACGACAGTTATAGTGCAAATGAATAGATTTAATATACATTTCAGTTCAATTTATATATTGATCTAATTTAATATATTTATATCTTTAAAGATATTGCATAAAAATGTGTTAAAATTTTGTTTTATTTTATTTTTTTCATAAAAATGTGATTTGAAAACATTTAATTGCTACTATTTATCTTATTTAGTAGTAATTAATATTTACTGATTCCATTTTATTACAAAGTAAGAGAGTAACAACGTTACTCTCTATTGCAAAGTAATTTCAGAGTTCACAATAATTTATTATGCTTAAAAGTTGAATTTATTAGGAATACTTGTCTGTTGCTTACAGAATACTATATATTAAAATAACTATTTTTTTATACATATTTTATACAAAACTTTTATTGTAAGAGAGATGTACATATTAATTGCACGCGTTTACTCTTTCCTATGTATAAATGAAAATCTAAAGAAAATTCTATAGAAAAAAATATGCTAATACAAATAAAAAGAGAAGATAATAACAATCATTTTCATAGAATTCTATAAATTAACACGAGTATTCTCAAAAAGCTTAGGAAAATATATGTACAATCACAGAGGAACGTAATTAACCTCTTATGGTAGGTAGATGGTCAAAATTTTGCTGATGTATAGAGGAGCTCTTCGGCCGATTTTCACTTTGACTATGAACAGAAGGACCAGCCTTGGGTAGTTGAGGTAACACCATTTGACTATAATTGGTATGCTGGAAATATGATAATACATATAATTATATATTATCATATATGTGTTCTTAAATTATTCTTATTGGATGAAAATAATATTTTGCTGCCGTTTTGCTTTATTACCGAGGCTTTTTTCTAAAGTCTCCCCATATTATTGCTTGATTGTTAAACTTACCCTAGAACGTTCTCGATACTTTTTAAGTTTCTCAAACTCTTCTGCCTCGACATCCGGCACTTTAAAATGAAAATTGACGAAATAAGAATGCCGCAACAATTGTTCGCACGTCCACCTTTCATTTGGATCTTTATCCAAACACTTCTTCAGGAAATCCAGCTGTCAACAAAAGATTTATACAATTAACAATCATCACCGACGTAACTTGGAAAAAAATATATATATATATATATTTATATATTTTATTTGGTTATACTCTGTACGTTTTAAACTGCGATTAAAATAGATTTGATATTACCTGTAAAGTACTGCCATTTCCACGGGGTAGAGCATCTTCAAGGGGTGTAAGTGTTTGCGGAGTTGGAAGAGTGATACCGGCAAAGAATTCGTTTTGTTGAAAGATAGCCATATGTCTCGGTAAAAGATCACCCAGCGTTCTTCTTATTAAGTACAACTGATCTACATCGGATTTTCCTGGCCACAAGGCTTCGCCCCGTATTAATTCAGCAAACACGCAACCGATTGCCCATACATCGACCGGAGTGCCGTATTGTGTGTCCCCGACCTGTCCCAAAAAACACGTACATAATTAAACTATCGTAACGCATTGATAACAATTATTTCATCAAATCCGTTGTTTAAAAATTGAAATTTGACGGGAATGATGGCACCGACTAGTGACTCGTAGTTACGTTGACCGCGCGATCTCAATAAACGTACTATTATTTTTCTTAGAAAAGCTGAAAATTGAGTTGTATACATTCGGATATTCGGAATATTTACCAGCAATTCAGGTGCTCTGTACCATCTGGTTGCGACATATTCCGTATAGTTCTCCCCAGGACTGAGCATACGCGCGAATCCAAAGTCGCATAATTTTACCACGCCTTCAGAGGTGAGGAGGATGTTCTCTGGCTTCACATCTCTGTGAACGCATCCAAAGCGATGGCAATAGGCGATACCTTGCAAAATTTGCCAGGTAATTTGCCTCGTTGTGAGATCCGGGCAACCGCTAGGATACTTCTCCATTTCGTTTAGAAGAGTGTTTTCGCAATATTCGAATACTAAATGTAATTTCCTCTTTCGTCTGAAGACTTCCAGAAGATTGACCAAGTTCGGATGCTTGAGATTCTATATCAAGGGAAAGTGTTCATTCGTAATTATTGATTTTAATTACATGAGCAGAATTAATTATGTGAATTATTTCTGTAGAGGGTTCCGAATTTGCGATAAATCGGAACAATCAAAGGATTTTTAGGCGCGTTCCTAGGTGCATCTTTCTTCTTATTATACAGCTTATAGTGATTTTATTTTCGATCTCTTAATTCAATCTTTTTATATTGATAATTTTCTAGTGCTTTGTGAGTAAAGTACAAAGTACTGCAAAGAAATTTTTTGACATGCCGTTTATATTCGAGAGATTCGAGAGATCTTGTAATGCAGTATTCTTGTCTACCAAATAGAGAATAGCCTTGAAGCAAAATGTCAAAACGTACGTTGCGGTAAGGGAGCTTATTTGAATGCGCATACGTTTGGTGGCGAACCCACTGATTGTAACGATAATGTTAGGTCGGTAAGACCGTAACACGCCAAGATATTGACCGCTGCCCGGTATTGACCGTTGGCTATTTCTTGCAGCCATTATTGCACCTGTGCGAGCCTCTTATCGTGCAAATAAGTACGTAACTTCCTCGTTTGGACCTAACCACTCGCTATTCTAATTCTATCGTAGGCGACGGTTAAAAAAACGAAAATAACAGGAAATTTTATAAGTTTTATATCTATAAACTCTATTTATCAATTTTATTTCGATTTATATATATGTATATATATATATATCTTAAAATAGAGACAGGAAGTCATAGGAAAAAATGGAAGAATTTATCTGATAGTGTATTTAATATTCATTAAAGCTCTCAGGAGGCCAAAATTATCGCGCCATGATCGCCTTGTATAAATTGGAACTAGCGGTCGCGAATGTACGTTCCGGAGGTCGTTCACCTGCAAGACGACCTACGACCCTCGACAAACTTGGTTATTCCGCAGATCGATCGAATCGGAAAATTCCGAGAACGGGTCAGCAATTTTTATATATTAACCTTTTTTTATATCTATAATAAAAAATCCTACGCAGGGTGTTCCATTCCACAAAGATTGTTACGATTTTCGAGCAACTTTTGCTAGCTCGAAAAAAGTAATTATAAACAAAAATTTCTGTTTTTAACCATTAAGAAAAAAAAAGGCAACTGACCTTTAAAAGACGTATCTCCCGTAGTGCGATTTTACGTATTAAAGGATCATCCTCGGTCTGTTGAAACTTCTTTACAGCCACCAATTTTCCAGTTTGCCGGTCCTTACACTGGAAGACAACGCCGTAGCTACCCTCGCCGAGACGCGCCAGACGTTCGTAGCGCTCCATGGCTTTGCTCGGTGCCCGAGACCTGTGCAAAATCATTTTTTTTTTTCGATGTTAACAGTGGATTTCAATGAATTTTGACACTACTTACAACTCGCAGAAAGAACGATAATTCATATCAAGTCGATAAAACCCAATTCGAAAGATCTATCTAAACTTTGCGATCATCTCCAAATGGTCTAATGTTAAAGTCAGTGATTTCTTAAATGATTGGCAAAAGAATAGCATTTGTATAACGCGAACATGTGCGTATGTTTCACAAAATTTACTCGTTTCAAAATAACTGTATAACATGTATCATATACACTTGTTGTATCAAATATTATTTCGGTCAATTTAATTATCGCAATTGTGTCGAAATATTGTTGAAAATTAAAATCTCTTTATAATCCCTCATGGGATTCAGGAAATTGTTCAGGGAGTTAAATTGATCGAATATCGGTACAAACGCCTCGTATAATTGCTGTTTTTACAAACAAGGAACACTAAATCGACATTCGACGGTCTAGTCAGGTCTAGTTATCGATTACCCACTTTTTGTATTTGGCAAGGCATGGTAACGACGTCAACTGTTGCGTAAAGAGCATAGTATCGCGATGTACGGCACCGGCTAGACTGTCTCTGTTCCAACTTCTAACGGATGACCAAGGGTCAAGCTACCCCACGAGTTTTGCTTTATTCGAATTCACGTTTAGCGCAGGCGTGGGTGGAGTGCTGAGTGCTGAGTGCTGGTCAACTACCGATATGCAATACCAAACCGAAATAATATACCTCCTTGGCGATATGTTTCGATATTCATATAATACCCTAGGATGTTGCGATCGCACGCTATCAATCAAACATTTACTTCCACCTCCACGGAATGGTCAATAAAAATTGAATGGAATCATACATACAATATATCATTGTGTAATAAGCATCAAGATTGCTGCTAGATTGAGATGCTATGAGTTCCGTGAAAAATGAGAAAGAATTCGGTGAAATGAATGTGCTCCTTAACATTTAACATTCAACTGATCCTGATATGAGTATGATATCGATTCGGTACAAATCATTTCGCGAGCTAGTACGATTCAACAGACACTCTTCGCAGGATTACGTTATTTCGACTATATTGTCGAATATATCTGCTCTTATGAATCTTATGATTATTTCACTTAAACTTGGGGGAGGGGGGACAAATTAAAAGTCTTTTACCACTGTGGTATTATGCATTGTCGGTAATTTGCAAACCTCACGTCGTTCATCGTATAATCGATGCGCTCGCGCGCGTACGTGACATAATTTCCTACGTAAACCGTAAACCGTACGTATCAGTCTCGAAAGTTAATTGCCGCATCTGGATATATAATGTTTTGAATATAAACCGACAAGTAGGATAGAAACCTTGGGCCAGATCCGACAGGTTATGCGTATGTTAGAAACGGATGACGCAAAAAGTTGTTAAAACACATTTTGTTAAATAGCTAAGTTCACTGATGTACTTTAAAGATCGCAATTATAATAAAAAGAATTTTAATTAAAACGTTACTAATTTTACTTTTTAAAAAGAGATCTCGTATTAATATATTGATACCGTTACGTGGATAGTTACAATCACTGACCTTGCATATTTTAAAAAGTGTGCTCCATTTTTGGAATATTATAACAATTATATAAAATTGTTTAAAGTAGAAGAAATAGTTTAAAATAGAATATCACAGTTTTTGTTAATTTTTTTAAGAGAACAACGTAAAAATAATTAGTATGTACAAACTAGAAAATACGTACAAAAATCCAAGAATGGAATTCATGGTGTACTCTTTTGTCAGGTCACCCTCGTCGGCGCACATACCGGACAGTACTAATACGTTGAAGAAAGTCGCGGCTTTACGTTATTGTTGAACTCTTGATTATTGACAATCGATATTACGTTCCCTGAGTACGTAGTACGTCTATACATTCTGCGACCATGAAAGAGGTCAAAATGTTCTCAACTGTTGGACGGACGCGCTATAGAGGCGCATGTTATGCGATACAAGGTGCGAAAATATATATGAGGATGCAACACTTTCGGATAATGTGCGCGCTATTGTATGCATGCGTTTTCCGATTGTAATATAGAAATAGACAATAAGGAATGTAAATTGTTTTATCATTGTTATACATATGTAGGTTCAATCTATCCCGTATAAATTTATCCTATTTATTCTTAATATTTTACGTAATATATCGATAATAATATCGATATGTAACATAATATTAACAGGCTATAACACAATTTGTTGAAAATAAAAATAAACAGGTAAGTGTCTTTATGAAAATTTTATTTTAACGAAAAGCTCTGACAACTATCTTGTAAAAAATAATCCGCTGATAAAATTGAATCCTACATGAAATCACAATAATAAATATTCTTTAAAAAATGATAATTAAATCGTTTTGTCAATAAAAGTTTTAAACACGTAACATCCCAAGTAGCAAAGATGACGTCTAAAGACGTCTTATTAAGAATAAACTTTTGCGAAACAATAGATACTTATTGAAAGATACATTCGACAAATTAATGTTCTAATAAATTTGAGTAGCGTGTATATTTTGCGTGTTTAATATCGCTGCCATGCTTTGGTGATGAGTGATCTGCAGTGTTTACCTCCTTGGTAACAATGGTAGCGTGCTACCAAATAGCCAGAGCTTCCTATCTTGAAGCCATTTGTCCATTCGCAAGCTTCTCACAGGGATTTCATGCTACGAATGAAATATTCACGCTGCATATCCCGACGAACACCGTTGCAACCATCGCGAATTTATCTCGGCGCATCGATATTGCTGACATGGTCTTTTGCCGGAGCAGTCTCTTTGATGGTGTAATGTTGCACTAGGTCCTCGACGAGAAACGGACACGCGACTGTTCTTTTGCCTAAAACCACGTCACCGACCGATCGATAACCCTTTGGGCTAATGCTTTCAGTACCTGCCGCACCCGCTAATTTGATTGATTATTTTTTATTGCACATAAGCCAGAAACAAGATCTAACGTTTGAGAAAACACTAAATTTTGAATGTATTTAATTACATATGAATAATCTATACATATTTCTGTATAACCTATAATTATTCTATAGATAAATAATCTATATAACGATTTATAAGTATAAACTATAACTGTATATAGAGTTACCGTATTACAACAGATAGAATCTGCATTATAAAAATTTTAGTCAGAGAATCAAATTATACTTAATTAGATTAATAGATTACTGTAATCTAAAATAATAATTAAAAAATAGCAAGAATTTAATTTATGCATCAGTATAGACGTTATAAGACAATGAAAGCTAATAGGAGTAAGCGAAACTCAGATTTTGCACCGCGAAATCTCGGAAATTTACTCCTGATATAGGAGGAAAGCATGTTGAGTGAGGAGGTTGTCCGGATTGCAGTAGGTATTCCGCAGGTGTTTTGAAATGCGAAATGCGCTGAACGACACTGCGGGTCATATCTCGAAAAATATATTTATTTTAACATTGTTATGTATGTTTTAATGCGAGACTTGTTCTCTCAGATGTAATTGGACGCTAAAGAGTTTCAAAATATTGCTGCATAATGTTAAATAACAAGAAAAAGGTAGCTGCGAATGCCGACGCGGCGCGCGGGCGGCGTTAGACGACAAAGTCGAAGAGCTCCGACTTTATTTACATCCGAGAGAGCAAGTTTCGCATTAAAGTTTAAATAACAATGTTAAAATGAACGTATTTTTCAAGATATGTGCAATGTCGTTTGTCGCATTTCGTAGCTTCTACCTTTTCGCCCAGCACAAGCATTGCAATCTGCATTCGCAGTTTTAGTTATTCACATGCATACATATACATATTATAAAAAAATTAATTAATAAAAACATTATTAATTTAATAAACAATGTATATTAATATTTAATTATTATTTTTAAGTAATAGCGTGAAATGTATTATGCGTTTGCTAAGACGCTTGAAAGATCATATAAATTTCAAATAGTTATAATTTTATTGTTAGATAATGTGAAAAGCAAGAATCTCGAGTTTGGAGTCGTCTGTAATTCCTCAGAAATCGCTCCTGCTACGCGGGAAGCATGTTGAGCGAGGAGGTTTTAGTAGAGGTATTCGAGCAGCGGCACGCGGGCCTACCCCCACTATTACCCATCGCCATCAGAACGGCGCGCCGGGCTCACGACAAGGATGCCTCGCCTACGGCCAATCAGAGCGCTGGCAGTTACCCCTGGGAGGGGCAGCAGGCCTCCACGCGCTGACCAATGACCGCGACGATACGAGAAGGCAATGTGGGAGGCAAGACCCGCGCGGCGCAGCGCGCTCGGAATACCTACTGCCACCTCCTAGCTCATCATGCTTTCCTGATATATCAGGAGTAAATTTCCGAGATTTCGCGCCGTGCGAAACCTGAGTTTCGCTTATCTTATCATCCAAATTAATTTCTTCTATTAACTTTTATCATCTTCTAGCATCTCTACGGATGCATAATTAAATTCTCGCTGTTTTTTTAATTATAATTTAAGATTGTAATATTGTATTAATCTAATGACCAATATGTTTAAGGGTTCTTTAATGCGAAACATGCTTTCTCGAATAACATTAGGTGATAAAAAGTTTTAAAGTGCTGTTACAAAATGGCGAACGACGAAAAGGATGGAAATCAGAAAGGCGATGGGCGACAATCAACGATTCTTGAGAAATATCTTTGTCTTAATGATTCGATTCTCTTCGCCTTTTTACAATACATTCTAAAACTTTTATCGTTTAATTCTTTTCAAGAAAGTTATATGTCTTATATATTAAAGAACATATATCAACGTTAGTATATTTCTCGATATTCGTCCGGTGTCGCGTATCGTATTTCGGAGCTCCAACTTTTTCGTCCAACGCCGCCCGCGTCGGCATTCGCAGCTACCTTTTTCTTGTTGTCTAACATTATGCAGCAACATTTTGAAACTCTTTAGCGTCTAATTACATCTGAGAGAGCAAGTCTCGCATTAAAACATACATAACAATGTTAAAATGAATATATTTCTCGAGATATGACCCAGTGTCGTTCAGTGCATTTCGCATTTCAAAACACCCACGGAATAACCTGAGTTTCGCCTACTTTATCATCCGAATTAATTCTTCTATTAACTTTTATTGTCTTTTCTAACGTCTCTACTGATGCATAATTAAATTCTTGCTATTTTTTAATTATTGTATTCAAAATAAAAAATGTGATTATTGACATTCGCTTTGAACTCCAACCGGAGCGAAACCAAAAGTTCGACAGTTCGATAATTAAATATCAATAAAGGAAAAATGTGAGAAATGATATTCTTATAAATTAAATAATTTTTAATTTGCACATCGCGTTTTTCAAAAATTTTATTTCTTGTTTAATAGGGAATTCTTTATAGTTTTGTTAGAAAGTGACAGAAATATTTGTTATAATATTATAATGATTTAATAGTTTTGTAATATAATAATTTTATACTTACAATTAGTATTATTAATAATAGAGAGATAGTACTTTCTAATTTCAAAAAAGTAGTAAAAATTTGAAATAATTTGACTTTACACAGCTGATAAACATGACGATATTGTGCCAGCCTCCGATTCGATGAATACATGACTATTACGGAGAGATTCGTTATAATATTTTTATATTCTTATAAAATTCTTGAGGATAGATATACAAGGTAGAAAATATATGTTTTATAGTTTATAGCATAATTTATTTTTATTTATTTATATTTTTATATACGAATATCATTTTACATATAACTAGGGAACACACAGAATATAAGTCGGAGATATGTTTTATTAAATAAATTCGTCATTTTTATCTTTGTATATCATGGCAAAAAATTCTTCTCTTATAATACAACACTAATAAATTTCAGGATAAGCGTTCAGCATTTTCAGGACAAAGTAGCGCTCTCTTTCTCGATGAGTCGATTACAGAAGATTTACAAATTACAGTTGGTCAGGTACGACACTATAACTATTATTACTCATATATGTATATATAATATACAAGTAACGCTATACAAATCAATTTGACAATATGCACAATTTGATTTTTAATTGATTCAGAAATTTTGTCCCATCTGGCAGTATTAGTATATTTCTTATATAATACTTTTGTGCGAGAAGCAAATTTATATATTCCTAGGAAGAATATTGGATTTAAGGAAAAAGTATATAATATCAAGGTTCTTTTTAGAATAAATGATATCTAAAGTAAAAAACTTTACAAAAGAACAAAACAATACGCCGGTTATTCTCTATATTTTTTATAGATTAAAAAACGTAGACAAAATGTCTACGTTTAGTAAAACAAAGTCTGTTGCACTATTTTTAAATGTAGGGTTTTCTTTTCTTAAACACGAAAATGTTATGTTATTATCCTTTTTTAAAAAATTTTACGTGAAATAATACAGAACGTCCCTTATCTATGCCCCAAATCATTCTTTTATCAACTTAGTCGAGTTTCTTTCAAGGAAATATTGAAGAAGATTACTATTTGTTTCAAGTTGATTAATTATTTTTCGATTATCAGAAAGACCACGTCTGAAACATTTACACGCTCTTTGCATTTCTTTGTACCGTGCACGATGATTTAGGTTTTTCAGTGTCTTGTGTTTCGCCTCTTACAGTGAATGTAACGAAATATCTTTTGGTACGATCCATTTTCTCAGTCGGAAGGGCGATCACTTGTTTTCCCTCTCCATGTGTCACTTCCACCTAAAAGAAAGGAGAGTAACATATAGAAAAAACAGAAATAACATATTCAGCTTTTGTGTAAATATATGATATTTTCTTTTTTATTATAACAGAGTTATTATGATAGGTTACAGATTTCTATAAATTTTTTTCATATTATTACCGTCATTTGCCCTCTGCCGCGACTCTCTATTTTCGGAAGATGGTCCGCTCGATCTGGGACGCCTCCACCTACTGCAATTATAATCTACATTCACACTACAGAAACTGACTCTTTTCGGGCTCTACGTACATATAGACGACGAAATCTTGAAGTTATTAAGTTATCGTTTTACTAATGACATAATTTACAGAAAGAAAATACATAAGAATGTTTTCTTCAAATCTTTAATTGAATGAATACTTTGCATATTCAAATATGTACGTAAATAATTATAGATATCTCAAAAGTGATGCGTGTTGTATTCAAATGCGATAATATGGTAACATACGATAGGTATACACTGGAATAGAGGTATAAGCGCTGGTTGCGTGATGACAACGATGAGTTTTTTGCGTGCATTGCTTGGCTCCGGTACAAAAGTCTGGAGTAGTTGGTCTTCCCTGCAGTCTTCTTAATTGCTCGTACAGAAACGCTTCGAATTGTCTACAATGACGATATCGATAATATTAAGTCGTAACAATTAAATAATAATGTATATTAAACATTATTGAATACTCTGTGTTCAGAAAGTATTTAATCCGATAGTAACCTAAACGTTAATGGTTGATTATATTTTGCAACACCAAGAGTAGGGCCAGACATTCCCGATTTGTGAAAGGCATCCACCTGAAAAAGATCGCTCTGCAAAATATATTCGCGAAATATATTAGCGATAGTATTGATAGAAAAACGTTTAATTCTTTTCCATGATTTAAGGAACACTGTACTTTTAAATCATGGAAAAACATGTTATATTCGCATTATAATGTTAATAACGATCGCCTTGGAGTGTCTTACCTGTCTTTTAACCAACACGTGTTCGTTCGCCCTGCCGTGACGAATCTGTAATCTCTTCAACTCCATCAATTGAAAAAAAATTTTTCTTTCGAGATGATAACGACGCAGGCTAATTTGCACATCCCTGGTAATGGTCTCCATATTGAGAGCTTGCTGTTTCGCTGTATTTGGACAACATCTTACGTTTCGCCTCCGTGGAATTCTCGACACTCTCGGGCTCGGTTCTATTCCACTGTCTCTACCTCCGCTATCGCGACGATGTTTCCTCCACAATCGTTCTCGGTGACCATCGGCATTTTCGATTCTGACTAAGCGGTTGCTAGTTGTTGATTGTACCTAGCATTAATAATATTCTGATCAATATTAATTAAATTATTGTAATTAAGTTTATGCTAAAGATTTATTTGTAAGTAAATATAAAAATAAAATTACACGATATAGTTTTTATCGATCAAGATGCCCACTGTTCTTTATTTGTGAAAAATTTTAGTATACCAAGCATTAACATATGTTTAAAAGTAATTAATTTAATAATGCTACGTACTATATGATTGAAATAGATATTAATAGGTGTAAGTTCTTTAATTACCTGAGGCAAAGAGTCGATTCTTGAAGTTCTAGATAGACCTAAAGCTGTGCTCGGAGTCTCTTCCTCACTCGTACTTGGCAAAACTCTCATAACACCAATTTCATTATCTTCTTCGTGCTCTGTCTCATGCTCCACATCCTCCCCGAGAGCTTCCCTGATTTCTTTTTCGACTGCTTCGTCTTCATCCCATTCTGGGCTGTCCAACACCGCGATTATTGCACTTTGATGCGAGGAACGCTCTTCGGAACTTTCAAACAGGTGTCTCTTGGTTGACGCCTTTGAAGAAGATTTTCCTGTCCTCATATTCCTTCCCGTAGATGGTCTCGAATGTCTCGTTTTCGCCGATCTCGAGGCCTTTGGAGAACTCGAAGAACTATCGTCGATGTAGCGAAAATCTTTATCTGCTAAAATCTTTGTCTGTTAGACAATCTTTGTTTGTTGGAACACAAATACGATGTGTTAACGAAAGTATTGTGTGTGTGTGTGTGTGTGTATGTGTGTAAAAGATTGTATTATTTACAATAAATACTTTAATTACGCAAAAATTATTTTTAAAAAATCTCTGCATTTAAAATAACACAGCTAAAAATTAAAATTAAAACTTGGAGAACGCATTACATTTTTATAATTTTCGAAACATTTAAGACTCGTAATATATTTCGGAAATTTACCTGTTTCAGTCTCTGGTCGTTCTTTATCGGTTTTTTTAATACGTTCCAACTTCTTGTCACGTGGCGAACCCGTTCTTTCTGGGGAAGGACTTTCTTCCATGTTTAGCATTGACACTCTCGGTTCCGGTGATGACAAATCTGCGGATTTTCCACGCGCGGAATCATCTGTCGATCGTTCGGTAAATGTTAATGCTTCGGTTTTCTGTTTTTCATCCACTTGCATTTTTTGCGAAAACTTGATATCATCGCGTTTATTCAAATATTTATCCTCTCTCAATTCGGCATCTTCAGCTGAGCTCTCTTTAGTGATTGTTTTCAAGGATGTTTGCTTTGTCGATGCTTTATCTCTTTCTTCAGAAGTTACCTGTACATCTTCGACATTTTCTTTCAAGCTGCTTATAGTTTGACGCGCATCGGATTGTCTCGAAGTTTTTGATTCTCCATCGTCTTTTTTCGCGATAGTTTTCTCGTCTCGCTTTGAATCTTCAGACGCTAATAGTTTTCCATTCTCCTCACCCGCACTCGAAATATGCTTCATCGCAGTCGTAGAATCTCTTTGATCCTCCGAAATCACAATATTTTTACCGAGTTTATCTCCGTTTTTAAAGCTATCTTTCTCCTTGTCGATGGTTGCTTCTTGCTTCTCGCGCAACGTACTATCACTCGGTATTGCATTCTCGAATGTATTTAGTCTACCTAAAAAGAAGATTACTGTAGCTAGAGTTTGACAAACACAAATTTAATAAATGATTAAATTCGATAAAATAATTATATTAACAAGATACTTTATTTTATCTTATGAAAAAGTTATTACGTTGAAATTCTTTGTGTCTTACTATTCGTACCTTCTTTTGGATCTTCTATGCTGCTAGGCATCGTTATTTTATCCTTTTCATCCTTATTCTGGACTTGTTCATTAATTCGTTCTTCAGAAATATCGTGCGTATCAGTCTTGTGCGACAATGCGGTCTTACTTTTATCTGAAGAATTAATATCTTTGGAAGTTTCCTTTGTTTCCTCTATTACTATCGTCTTTTTTCTCAAAACTTTGTCGGAGCTTATTTCCTTTACAGTTTCTTGCGTTGATCTTGGAGTGTCAGGCACTTGATCTTTGTGAACTATCGCTGTAACAACCACTCGTTCCACGGTTTCCTGACTAGTACTATCCGTCGCTTCTCTTCGAAATCGAGATTCTATTATCCTCTCGCTACCATCTTCTTCCTCTTCAGCGGAAGTATGCGCCGGCTCTCCTACTGCAACGCTTCTTTCTTCCTTGTCCGAAGATTTATCTTGATCTCCCATATTCTCCTCTTTATCGAACGTTCTCGACTTGCTGGATCTCGACATTTTCTTAGAGCTACGTTTGTGCGTTTTGGTCAGTTTTGTCTCCTTCGTGCATTCTCTAGGTGTCTTTAATTTTCTTCCGGATACAACTTTTTCACACTTTTTTTCCAACGATCTTTTTACTACAATCACCTCTAAGCTGTCGTCGCTTACGCTTTGATCGTCTTCATCTTCTTTCCTTGAGTTATCTTTAGCTTCCGTTTCATTGGAGCTTTTGCTTTTATCCTTCTCTTGCTGTCTTTTTGTATGCTGTCGATGTTTGATTACTCCATTTTCATCATGAGAATAATCGCAACTGTCTGATTCGAACGACGAATCCGAATATTTGTGTTTATGTCTCATCGATATTCTTTTACTTCGTTTTTTTCGCAGATTTTGCTCACCGTTATCATCGTATCTATTGATTTATTTACAATTTAAAAATTTAATACTTTGGCTGACAGTGTAATCAATAAAAGAGACGTTTAGAAAATAATGCGACACTCTATCTCATAGTTATTAACTTTTTACATTTAACTGCTTAAATCCTTTTTAGAACGTGTTAAAAATTCTATAACTTTTTAAAGAAAAAAATCTAAAATTCTATTAACAATATATCAATATTTTGAAAATCAAATGCCAGAATCACAGAAGTATTATATTTTTACGTAGCAGCTTATGAAGAGGGAAAGAAGAAGGTTTGTATATTTCAAATGTCTCTCGTATTAATTTTGCATCGCATTAATGAAGGAATATCTGTTTTACCGTGCGGATTCGCTTCGAGCTCTCCTCTCGTCCTTTTTCGAGGATGTCTTCGACAGACGCACTTCTTCCTCACTAAAACTCCGACTATCCTGACGAGTCATCTTTTTCAGATTACCTTTTCGACGCGTTCTTCTTTCGATCCACCGCTCTTCGTAATAGAGCTCGGGATGTTTGTGCCCTCGACCTCGTCTACAAGGACTACTGTCGCTCGCAGTGCTACTATCGTCATGTTTTATTCGGACCTTTGCTGTAAAAACTAAAATTATTTCAATATGACTTATTTTGCTATAATAGTAGACTACTACTGAAATATATTTATAACATATATTCTTAATTTAGAGATATATTACTTCTTAAAGAATAAATATATGTGTATTTTGTGTTAAGAGTTGTCATAAATAATTCTATAAATATTTATTATTATATTAGTCTAGTTCTTCTCGAGCCAGATTTAGCAAATGTCTGTGGACTACACATATACCTAATCTGACCTTTGTTCGGTGCGGTCTTATGCGTTCTCAGTTGCTGTCCTGTAGTACCGCCGTGCATCTGAATCAGTTTCGCACAGTCCCTATGTCCTCTGTAGAGAGCTGCGTCCAGTGGAGTCATCGAATTGCCCTTGCTGGTCCTAAGAACCGCGTTGATTCTTGCGCCATGATCCAATAGAACTTTGCATGCGTCCAAGTGACCGTGCAAAGCCGCGACATGGAGAGGCGTCTTGCCATCATGAGTAGCGACGTCCAACGTGCTCGGTCTTTTTTTTGCTAACCATTTTATTAATTCGATTCTACCGGACGCGACGGCCTCGTGTCCTATCCCCGTGCCACGCACGGTCTTAGCGTGAAGTGACCCGCCGTGCTGAGTCAGAATTTTCAAGGTTTCTAACTGGCCCTTAGCTGCGGCGCAAAGTGCAGGTCTGAAAAATGTTGAACGTTCTCTTAAAAATTTCAATACTCTTTACTAAGATTGAAATATAGCGAGTTGACCCAACGTATACCAAGCGCAGTTAAATATTAATCATCGAGAATCGTTATCCAGAAGGAAATCTATTATTTTATCAATTATTTTAATTGACCGAAAGAGGTCAGTTGAAAATTAAGATTATCCATAAACTTGGTAATCTTACGTTCTACCCTTTCGATCTTGGCGATTGGGATCAGCCCCGAGTTTGAGGATGAGAGCGGTGGCATCCGCGTGACCCAAAGTAGCGGCGTAATGTAACGCGGAACAACCGTTGTCGTCCACATAGTCTGGATGAGATCCACACAAGTTGACGAGTACTTCCACGCATCTCGCGTGGCCCCTCGACGCTGCGCAATGAAGTGCCGTCAGTCCATCTTTGTCGGAAGTACCTGCGGCTGCCGACCCTCCGGCTCTAAATCAAGGAAGATTTTAACGAATTTTTAATTCTCAATTGCTTTTGCAACCTTGCCTTTTGCATTATCGTTTAGGAAAATCACAGATTCTCCAAAGAAATCGATCTAACATTGAAGAGGACTGACGCTCGTTGGTAAACCGAAACGATTAGAGTAGTTAACAGTCGTCTACCTTGCTAAAGCCAACACGGCCTCCACGCTACCCGCGCTTGCCGCCCATAGAATCGGTTGCCGCCCGTCCTCGTCCTTGGCGTTCACGTCCGCGCCGAATTCGAGAAGGGTTTGTAAAACTTTCAGGCCAACCTTCTTGGGAACGGCGAGCTCAGCCGTGGCGACCGCGCCGCAACATTGGGCGGCATAGTGAAGTGGAGATCCGCCACGTAAATCCGGGGTGGAAGGTCGCGCACCGGCCGCCAGAACCAACCGAACGCATTCCGCTTCCCCGCAGACTGAAAATCGTTATTGTATGTACCTTCGGCTTTTTTTCAACATCTTAAAAGGGACAGTGAAAAGGAATAATACTGGGATCGATACTTCTTATTAAGCGCATTCCTTTTGGACTTGCGGAATCAATTTCTTAGCGAAAACATCGTGGGAGATTGTATAATTACTGTTTTGGACAAATTTATCGAATATAAAGTGTTACTAACAATAAGTACATAATTTTTCTTGTTAGAGCAGAATAGAAGTCGAAAATAGAAATTGATTTTTTTCTGTTCTAATATAGGTATACAGATTTAAAAGTCTCGCAATGCAGCGTACAATCTGCTTTAGCTTCAATATCTGGTTGCGATTATTATTAATTCTATATCACATTATTATTTTATTTTTAATTCTTAATTTTTTTATAATTATCTTTTTTCTTTTCTCCCTCTTTCTCTTGGAAGGTCAAACTATCCACTATTGTATACTATTATTAAAGTTTCCTTAAAAGTTGGATGACAGACTGAAATGCAGGGCGCCGTATCGTTCCTTCCGATCTTAGGTAGAACGGTGTGCCGTAATGGTCAAGGAAGGTCAGTAGGTCGTTTCTGACAAGAGTTACGTTACTGCGGTCCGTTAGCGATCACGCGAGAGTACATATCGCGATGGCTCGACCGACTGACCATAGAAGTCCTTGGGTTTTACTTGTACGAAAACTTACGAATGCACACGCGTATGAGTGTTTTATCTGTTAGATATATGTTATATATTCACACGTGTGAGAGATAGAAAACATATTTATTCTTAAAGTCAGAGATGACCAAAAATAAAATGACACTTATTATTAGTTATATTGATTCGTGTTGTTACCAAGCAGAAAGCATCTATAGTACCTGACATAATTTATGCGGATCTGCAAAAATACCTGATAAAATAATTAAAATAATTGTTTTACACATTTAGGTTCAGGGAATCAAAGTAAAAACTGTATGAAGTGGAATCCAAGGGTAAATATAAAAGACGAGAGTTAAAATAAAGATACTAACGATAAACGGTGTAACGTTTATTATCACAGCTGAAAGCTGAAAGTAAAAAGAGAGACAATTTTGTGTGATTTAAAATGCATGCGTAAAAAGATATTTTATAGATAAAAGTACCAGTGGCCCAATGGAGAACACTGTGCCCCTCGAGATCCTTAGCATTGACATCGGCACCGTTCGCTAAGAGAACCGCGACCAGCTGAGTGTCCCCGGCGATGACCGCGAGATGAAGCGGGGTGTGCCCCTCGGCATCAGGGGCATTCACCAGTTCTGGTGCCGCCGCGGCAACGGCACCACCGGTACCCGCGTCCATGCAATAATGGAGGGCGTTTCTCAATGTGCGATCTCTATAGGCGGTCGTTTCCTCCTGTTCCTTCAATAATCTCAACACTCTTGCCCTGTCGCCTTGTTGACAGGCGTGCATCAAAGGTGTAGCGCCGATGTGTAATACTCTGAAACGGTGCGTGTTTCTCTGATTCATTAAGCGGAACAAAAAAAAAGGAAATTTGTATTAAAGAAAAAAATTATTCTGCACATCTTTTATCTCTTCATATGTAGTATCATTTTCGATTGCATTGCTAAGAACTTGTAATATTATTCGCTAACGGCAATCGTTTATTATAGATTATAGGTATCGTGCTGAACCCTGCCCGTCAAACAGATTGATTTGTGAACGAAAATAGAAGAGCAAATTTAAGTGGCTCGAAAGAAAATCAATATCGAGCGCGTCTCTACCTGTAAGGTCTCTTCTTGCGATGATCCTGATGCTGCACAGCGCAGGGTGGGTCCTGCGACCACGATGTACCACCGGACGGTCTATGTTTGGAGGAACGATGATTCGGGTACGGTGTCAGCGGGGGCAAGGACACGTCGGCCACGCGATCCGCTCTCTTCGGCTGAGGCTTCTCCTGCGACTTGAACGGGATCGGCGGAGTCTTAGTGTCCATGCCCGTCTCTGGCACCTACTCGCGACTACGCCAACCGGTCGCGTGGAAGCATCTTCGGGCCTCTCGACGGATCGAACTCATCGCGCCGAGGAGGAAGTCTGGGTTCTCGACCCGAAGTAGATAGATATGCTTGAAAGAGATTTGCTCGAAAATGACCACCGGCCGTACACGATGGGGTTCGAAATATGAATTTGGCTGGATTTGGCATTGATGCTGATAAAATGAGCACACGGATAAAAGAAAAATAAATATACAGACATACACACACACACGCACGCATGTATATGTATACGCGCGAGCTGAACGAGTGAATTTCGCGTGTTTCGCAACCCGCTGCAATAATATAATAAATGGAGCTGTCGTAAAAATGAAACTATCGATTTATGTATCTGCGCGCGTGAAGGACGTTGCCGTAAAATCTGTAACGATGCTCCGCATCCTAAAATAAGCATCCATTAAAGTACGACCCAAATTTTCGATTCTAAATCAAAGTTCATTTACTGACCACGTGGTGAACTGACCAGGTCACTCGCTACCATAGAAACCAACGGTCACAACACGCGAATACCTATAAAGAACCATAATGGCTGATACCACGGCAAGGTCGTCACGTGTCGAATTCTAATCTTCACCTCGCGTAGATCGTACGAGCCGTCAGAAAACTGATTACTTAAAACACTAAGGGGGCTATTTAAACCCTGATACGCATAGCGTTTTTAGATCCAGCAGCATAAATGGAATAAAAATGTTATTATTCTTTTTGGAATCTAATTCATTTCATTTGTCCTTGTATAACTTTGTTCCGCAATGACAATCCGTCTAGGCAATGTTCTAATATTTATATTGTGTTAATACTAGTGTTTTGTTACAAAAAAATGATGAATTAATTGGATGAAGGCCAGCTTAATAAGTAACTTGTTTGAGCATGTGTATTTTTCATTATTCACCTTCAGTCAAAGACACTGTTACAATTTTCAATAACTCGGCTTACAAACAATTCCAAAGAAAGAAAGAAAGAAATAGAAAACTCGCATTTAAAGATATTTTTGGCGTATCTTAAAAATTTGAGTATCTTTATGCAAAAATCTAAATTAAAATCTTATTAAGTAAAGGCCACTTGAAATTAATGAAAAAATTTCGTCAATTATCTTCTCCAAAAACACCTTATATTTAGTCATTAATTAACGAAGTAAGCATCTCCTCGGCGTTTCTGCCGAAGAAAAATTGCTTCTATATCAGTTGGATGCCGCGCAAATGAGAGTAAGATCTCATATAGCCTCGTGAGCAAGATATGTACATACATGCATACATACATACGTGCAACGAACTCGCACCGTAACGCGGCGATGACTGAAAATCGTTATTTCGTTGATTCACCAGGCCGAATATCGATCCGTTATTGCTCCGTTAATAATTCGCCGAAACCTTCGTTTTTCGTGATGTTGCATCATCATTAATACTTAACCGTAACATTTCTGCCTTTTCGCGTTACGTGCACCACGCTTCGATATATCACGTGCTTATTGTTTACGAGATCCGACGTGGTAATCGATCGGAATAACGCAGTGCATATATATCACATGCATTTAGTTATACAAAAGTGAACGAATAAAACAATTAGGCACATCTTTTTGTGTTCCACCAAATATATGTCTTGATGCGCACATAAAAGACACACACACACGCACACAAACAAAACTTGTATTTAATAATTCACGAATAATTTCTCTCTTTTTTTTTTTATTTTTATCGATAAGTGTAAGTGACTAAATTTACATTACTTGAGCATAATGAGAAACCATAGCTCATGAAATATTCAAAAACTTGACTTTTACTGAAAAGTAGAAAGATGTAGAAGATCTTATTGTTCTACACTGTTTATTCCCTGTAACAGTATTCTTAGAAATCTTATCGACATATATATATATAAATCAATTATGAATCTTTGCTAATTAACGAGATATACATATTTCAAATAGACGTTAAAATTGTTAAAATAATTTTATATAATTAGTGAAAAATTATATCGATTTCAAAACATTAAATAAAATATCGAATAAAAAAATTAAATCAATAAACATAAATGGAAATTAGTATGTGATTTTAATATGCGCTTGCCGGCTCGCATTGGCCTGAAAATATATCTCTTTGGTTGAGATTAAGTTATTATATCATTTAATCAAATTATATTTCATTTATATTTTTAATTCCTTGCAGAAGAGAGAGTAGAAGTAAACTTTATATCAAAGAAAAAAATATTAAATAAATATAAAAATGTAAATATAAAAATGTGCTGTAGATGTCTACGTGATATCAGCGGACAATATGCGAGAATTTAGTCGATCGTCGTTCTGGTATATAATATCCAATATGACATATGTGTATTTAACTGATGCACTTATATACTTACCTCGCGTTATAAATTACGCAACTAAATTGTGTTGTTTGCTCATTATTTTGGCGCCAGATTTCAAAAGTCAAAGTTTGGTTGTCAAATGTTGCTTCGGCCACGAGGTCGACTCGTTGTGGCGACAGTGAAACGTACCTTTAGAGGGTGGAAAGCGCACTGAACGCTCCGCATTAGCACGAGCAAGTTAACGTAAGGGTTGCTTAGATACCACCGCGTCTCAGAAACCTGTAAACAAAAACTAAGTTTGATAATCTATAATCTATATTATCAAACGAGTACAAAAGACTTTACTTTACCATTTACTAAGTTTTGCTTTAAAATATATAAAAATTAAACACTGATAAGCTCGGAGAGTTTTTGAAATAAAAAATTTGAAAAATTGCTCTCGAAATGTAAAAAACTAAATGAGAGATGTTTCGATTAATAAAAACTACAATTGATAAACACTACGGTTTTCCTATCACGTTCCGTTTTGAATAAAAACAAAATTAGCTATTAGAAATAACTTAAATAAAAAATAAAGTTTTTTTCTGATTGTGAGTAAAAAATCTATCGAAGTGCATGACTGTTCTGATGTGAGTGTAAAAATTACTTTGAAATTATATACAGTTAAAAATTTTATTTCTAATTATATATTTGATAAATATAATAAATCCTTTACATATCTTGAAAAGTACGTATCCAAAGAGTGATAGACAATTGGGGGTATAGCTCAGTGGTAGAGCATTCGACTGCAGATCGAGAGGTCCCCGGTTCAAACCCGGGTGCCCCCTCATGACTCACTTTTTTTCTTTTTATATTTAAATTTAATTTTTGTTATCGTTATAACGTTGTTTACTTTAATAAATAGCATAATGTAATATAAATCTATATATTTTTAATTTTAGCTTACAATAGTAATATTCATTATCTATTGATAAAGTATTCCGTTTACTTATTTCTTGAAATATAGAAATAAATTCCTATATTTTTACTTAATATTTACCGTTTGGTTTTTGTTAATTATAAGTTAAACTAGTAAAAATTTAAGCAAGAATGTTGAATTTTTAAGGAATATTAGGAAAACAAAAAAAATTATTATTTCACATTTTTAATTAATTGATAAAAGCACGTTTTTATTTTTTAAAAATTTATTTATAATTTTATATAGTTACAGTTGATAAATTGTAAACAGATTACATAGTACGAGTCCTGCAGATTGCCCAACCTTTTATAGAAAATAAAATTATATCCAACAATAAAACTAAAAGACGTTATATAACAAACATTTGTATGAAAACAATACACAATTCAAATTCCTCTATTCTAGAAGATTTTTATTCTATAAGTTTTCTATCTCCTCTCGCCCTGTTCTCTTCCTACTCACATATTTGGGTTATCTTACATGATCATAATATCTCTCTCTTTTATCTTTTATTGATTTATTCATTTTTCATTCTAAATTAATTGAATAGGAATGAGAACCAAGAAATTTTAGGATAAAGAAAGTACTTAATCTAATAACTTTAGAACAGAGAAATTTACTGTAAAAAATATATATAAAGTTATATCATAAATTTAATTTTGTGCGTATTTGAATATTTGTGGATATTTAAAAAAACAAGAGGTTCACCTAAGATTAAAATACTTAATATCTCTTCAATTAGAAAACAAATTATGGATACATGTTATTATAATTTCATATTTACGCTAGTATTGCTACATTATTGGGCTCAAAATTATTTTAATATTCTATGGTAGAGTCAACGTCAGTCTTTTAATATTAGTTTCTGCCAATATTAGCACAAAGATAAAAACATTAGATATAACTTGTCACGAATTGTATTATTTCATATTTTACTTTCTTAGCATATTCAAAAATCTATCTTTTTATTATATAATCTTAATATGTCAACAATTATTATCAGTGCTTATTTTACGTAATGAGTAAAATGCTTATTAATACTTGGAAGACTTAACAATATAATCATTTATAATTTATATTTTACTATTCACAAATAAAAAGTAAGTTTTGTGGAATATATTATACTCCATACTCACACTTATTCCTATACTCACTTTTTATTTGTGGACAGCAAAATATACATATATATATCATTAATGGATATTTGATTTAATAAGGCAACTTGTAAAACGTGTATATAATCTAAAATATTTAAATTGATTTTCCGATATCTATTTTATATACGTTTATAAAGAAATATAACATTATTTTGAAAAATAACCGTGTCGTATATGATAGCAACTGTAACGCAATGATGCGAAAGAGATTTCGATATTTGTGCCTGACCTTAAAAAAATCGATAATATTCCGCAATGTGATTCAGCATATCTTGAAACGCGGTAGAAGGTGATGTACCAAATTTTTGTCTCCATAAATGCCTAGCAATGATATGTTGGCCTGATGTATGCGTAGCTTCTTGAACTTCCTCACAAACTTCGACGGCACTTTGCCAAATTGTTTCTTAAAATAAAGGAGAAAAATAATTACGCAAAAATTGTTTAGAACAACAAGAAACACACAAAGGTTATTAAACCCTGATGTTATTAAAATAGGTAATTACCGAGATTGTCAAGAAGTTTACTTTTACCAGGTGGATCAAATTTCTGCAGCTGTTCAACACTGATAATTTTGTATTGTCTTAGACTCTGTAAAGATTCATAACTGCAACAGCGAGCACGATCATTTGCTACTATATAACTTCCTGGTACTGTGTGCCTCGTAATCTCTTTCAAAGCTTCTTTTACCATGTTACTCTTGTCCACTCCTGGTTGTAACTTGTCAATTTTTTGTGGCTATAAAAGAAACAATTTATACAATGTAAAGTAAATGTAAAGTTCAAGTAGAATAATATTTATACGGTATATTTTTGTAATTAAAATGTGCTCCATTGAAACATTACCTCTGGCATAGCTTCAATCATATGTAACCATATGCGAGGTGGTATAGTATTTGTTTCTGCAACGCATATTATTGTATGTGAATTATTATTACGTTTTTTGGCAGAGTTTACATCTGGCTGATGCTCCGTCATATAACCACCAGGAAATTCATCCACAATTAATATTGCACCTTTGTCACCTAATAACCAATCCTCTGGATGTTTTCTAACATAGATTGCGGAAACCTCGTCGCACCGCTCATATATCTTTCTAATAACGTGTTTCTTTACATCTGCAATAATATATACATATGTATCTATAACTATACAGAATCTTGATTATCGTAAAAGACATATTACATAAATAAGAACCTAAATAAGTAGCAGTAGCTTCACAAGGAATTTGTTGACACCATCCTAATATCAGTTGAAGGCACATTTTCAGATCACATTTTATTCCGAAAAAGAAAGACTTTTCTCTGATGGACTGCTTTCTCATACAGTCAGGACAAGACCAAATATATTTGTCTACGATTCTTGCAGGACTCCATATTAAACTACGCCCTTTACAATCCGAATGAGGACAGTTACAGGCTGTACGAATCAAACTCATTTCTTTCAACCAGCTGCATAATTCTCCCTCGTGCCCCTGTTGTAGCATCGGTCGAACGACAACGTCAAAGAACCCACTTTGATCGCTAAAAGGTCCCGAGCATGTTCTGCAAAAGTTTGCATTACAAATTAAACGTACCTAATATAATAATAGAATGGTTCAGTTCGTAATTGAATTGTGGATGACACAATGCTTTGTTTATCTCAATAAACCTCTGTCACAATCAGCGAATGACGTATATCCACAAACGAATATCGAGTTGTCATTAACAATTCCATGACTTCAATTACCTTGAATTTTTGGCCTTTGCGTTTTTCATCATTAATTCTAAAATAATAGGCAGTGTGCTTAGCTTAACGCTATTAGCTTTCACGTCTAACAAACACGTAATAACGACGAATAAAAATTTGCTCGCACTTAAACAAAAAGTGAACAAAAAAAAAAACAATTATAAGAACCTAACGCTAACAGGAAACGATCAAATGACCGTGGCGGAGTCCATTGTCATCTATACATATACGCATGTATATATAATAAGCAGAAGCGCAACTCGCTGTGCGTTGGCAGTTGGCAGCTTTGCGCAGTCGAACGAAAGGCGCATGCGTGAAACGGAATCCATTTGAAATTGAGCGCCGAAGAGATTTCACACATACACAATGCTTACTTTAATAAAAATTCTATGAAAATAAATTATCGTCGAAAATAAATGATATACGTTAAAGAAATAGAAAAATTAGAAAACCCAAAGTGGGCTAAAACACTAAAGTAATAACTTACCTCTCAATCTCTGCTTCCTTTATTATTGTAGTCTTTATTAGAAAACTGCGCATTTATATCCGCACTCATTGTCAAGATGGCCTTTATCTTTTTATTTTGATTGAGAAATATTTATATAATAAGAATTTATATTATTAATTATTATTAATTATTTATGCAAATATTTTATAAAATTTAGAGAGAGAGAACACGTTCAAATTATCTTCAATACTTTGTGTATTCATTTTTTTTCCCTTTTATTAAGAACACGTTTTACAAAGCAAAACCTGTGATGGTGGAAGTTGTGGAGGCTGAAGACTACAGAGTTAGTGTTGATAGGTACATTTTAACAAGGTTCCGAAAAGGTGAGTGCGGATAAGGATATCGGCACATTAATATAAAAAGTACTCTTTGAGTGACAGCGTGAATATTAGGCCGACACACTCATTCATTCTCCCATTCATTCATTTATTTTATTTGTTTGTTCACAGTCGGTCGGTCGGTCGGTCAGTCGGTTAGTCGCCAATCGATCAAGTTAGTCAGTCAATCTGTCCAAGATAGGTAGGCAAACATTTTTCTACATATGTTGCACGAATACACTGCACTTTCATATGTATGCATTTGAAAGTTAAACATATGCTTATTAAATAAAAATTGCCAGTTCGGTCGAAGTAAAGGAGTTTGTTAAACATATGATTTTTGTCTACATATAATTTTTTAGTAGAAAACAGTGCAAACGAAGATCACTGATATTAGATATACAAAATACTTTATACAATATAAACAGATTATCGCTTGATGCAATAAACACGATAAAGCTATCTTCCTGTTAATATAATATAATAATACGCGCATAAAATAGAAATGGTTTTTTAAAATGTCGATATCACGAGTCAGTCGATTAATGTCGTAAATTTATACAAGTCATTAGTTCAATCGTTAAGTATCACGCACAGACGCAGCTTATATTTATCCGATTTTCTAATAAGTGCACTCGCCATAAATTCTATGAATTTTGTTTAACTGTCGTTTCGATAATCGTAACAAGAAGATAGCAACGGAAGAGCTCATCAAGGAATACAGCACAAATGATATATTCGTGTATAATCAGCCTCTATATAATAATATTTCGAGGGAAAATTTCTCACGCAAAAAAAAGGCTACATTGTATGAAAACGCATCAATGTAGTATGAGAAGCGACAACTTTATTATGGATATTCGATTGTAAACTTGTGTAATCGAAAGTTTGGTGACTAATAAAGTTAAATCCTCAATGAATTTATCTTTATATAGGATCGCGACTGTCATTACTAACTATTTCGTAAATACAGTTGGATCTTATAAAAATATTTATGAACAAGATCGAGAGATTAAGAAAAAAACGAGCACAATCACCCTTTTTTATATTTCAGATTCCGATATATTGCGTGCATAGGAAGGCGCAGTTTCAAGACTTGATAACGAAAACTTCAATCACACCGCATCCTACTCAGGCGATGAAAACGTATTACAACATGATACTACTGTAATAATGTGGCAACTGGCAGATAAACAGACAGTTTGGCAGGCATGATGAACGTAAAACCAAACATGTACACGTGACACTTAACCAGACTTTTTCTTTCATATCTCCTTTCCCCTCTCTCTCTCTCTCTTTCTCTCTCATTCACTCAAATTCTTTCTTTCTTTCGCTCTTCTTGCCTCCATTACTCTTATTCATTCCTATTTTCTATATCCACGAAGTCCTATAATAATGCAATATAGGCTTTAGTACTCTATAATGTATGCTAAACTAGAACTACCACTACGCCGTCTAAATACGGCGCAGCATTCTTAATTAATATTAGGAATATCGGCAGTGAAATTCCAATGACAGACGCGGCAGGCAGGCAATCAGTCCGGCAAAGTCTGTGGCACTTGCGCTGTTCCGGTGCATAAAACAGATAAAACTGATTGTCGGGGTGCCCCGCACGTTTAATTTTTAACATTCAGTGTCGACACACGACTGCACGCAATGTCTACAAAGATAATGAATCAAAATTAGGGAGGGGGGGCACCCCACTGCTCGTACCGAGCACGCTCGCTTTTTTATTTCCACCATGGCACCTTCATCGTCATGTTCCACCATTACTTGACATCGTCATCTTACTCTACTTTTTTCTTCCATTGAAAAATAATTTCTTTACAATACTTGGTGATGTGTCCACCGACGAATACAGATCGCCGCGATACCTTCGCTTGCTCGATTTGATCAGAAGCAAACCGATGTTGCGTTTGTTTGAATTGTCCGAAACGAAGATTACTAAGATTATAAATCACAAATGAAATCACAGACTTTCGTTGGTGGTTCGAATAGAGAGGGGCCGTACATTGCACGTAGAACAACGTCGTAGGCATTATCAGGAAAAGTTTGATGAGAGGCACGGGGAACTCTTCTATTCCCCTCTGCTTTTCATTCCCATCCATTCTCCTTGATCATATGGGCAAGTTCGATTATAAATTTTCCTTCCTTGTATTTTTGACTTGACTCGAACGCATGCTCCTAAAAAAATATCATTAGACACGTAATGTCACAAACTTTTTTCATTCAAGAGACTACGTTAATAAATAAATGAATAACTAACATATTTCCACCCTAAGGTGGTTTTGCAGCACTCGCAATAGATATCGGCGACAGCGTGCAGCCCAGTTAATAGAACTCGCTCCTCCGCGGGACCGCAACCTACGTTCACCCTACGTAACGTAATTATCATTTTTCCATTTCTGTCATATGTGTTCTGTGTTATATGTATACGTATCGATCGATGTTGACATAAAACACACAAAGAATACCCCCAAATTACATTACTAAACATTACTACACCATTACTAAAAATTGGAAGATCAAGAAGAATATTTACTTCCATTTCGTTTATGTTAATTACAAAACTGCAAAATATCGAAAACGTATCTCGATATAGTTAGATATAGTTTTCAAACTAGAAGTAATTTAAAGAATTCACACAAATTAAATTTGCAGCGTAAATTGGAACGCAGAAACTTTGCTTTTCATTTATCCTCACTCTTCACAGTGGTGTTTTCCTAGTGCGACAGCCATAGAAATAATAAGGCATTATGTACGAAGATGTTAGAGAAGATGTTATAGAAAACAAACAAAATATTAGATCAAATTTTAAGGGAAAATAGTTTCGACTTAATCAAAAAACTATATTAATAACTCAAAAGAATAAAAATAGAGTTCTAGGACATCTCGTATGTACGTGTTATAAAGGTAGCCAATGCCAAATATCTCAAAGTTGTTCTATTTTCAACATATCAGTTATACTTACACAGAATTAAAAAGATAGGCACGACCTTGACTGCCCTGGAAGGACTGAAAATGCAAAACGAACAAAATTTATATCATCACATTGTGTTACGCGATATAAAAAAGAGACATAGAGTTACGTCTATTATTAGTTGTTATGAAACTATTTACGATTAAGATCGGAGCGTGAATTTTTAGCTACAGCCTCGTATCTCGGGGTGGTAATAAATTTTTTTCTTGGTTAACCGGAACTATCGCTATCTGACAGAATATAAACGATAGCAATAATCCACGTTATCGCACGCTATTGTGTACGCAGAATATCTACGCAGCCATTTCTGATTTTAACTGATTATTACGCTTGCTCATACAATAATCAGAAACTTTGCGATTCGTTTTGTATACTACCCGGATGTCCGTAATAGGTAAATTGATGAAAAAACGAAAACGTTCCAATTAAAAGAAATCTCTCTTAATAATCCCATAATAACTTCTCTGATGGTCACTTGTTGCATACTGACGCATTATGACGTTAAAAGCAAAAAATCGTACAAGTCTTTTCTTGTAATAAACAAATCGAAAATAATTTCGTTTCTTATCAACATTTGTATACTCGTTAATATAGATTAGCAAAATACGCTGACAATTTAAGTTTCTTCAACGTCACGTCACAATATTCCACGATAGTCCATCATATTCGCGGCCAGGACCCTAGGATCAGAAACCTTCGGTCGAAGAAGAATGCAAAAGATTTGTCGTAGGAACTCGAGGTTGCGCTTACCTTAGAGATGAGTTCGTCGTGATTGGCGAGATGAGCACGGCAGTGAATGCACGAGTAAGTGCGGTGACAGGAAGGTAGATACGCTTGAAAAGTTTTCACCATGATGGCGTGTCCAAGCGAGCGAAAATACACTTCGCCCTTGCTTGCTATCCTCCTATCCTCTTGCCAGGTGTAAGAATACAGATCTCTTTCTCCTCGCCGGGAGATTTTTTTTTACGGTTTTTTCTTCTTTTTTTCAATCTTTTATCTAGAGGACACGAGACTGACGTTCTCCGAAACGCGGGGTGGTGGTGCGATAGTAGCCCCGTTCACCGCCGCTTCGTGCTCCGATCAGCTGTTGAGCTGGTTCAGACAGCGCCGGTTCGGAGACACCTGTAAAGCGAGGAGATAACGGTGAAAAAAATGCGACGTCGATTTTCATTTCGTATCGATTCTCGCTGCAACCTTAGACCCGTCTTGCAACGCGATAGCGCGAGACACGTGTTTTATTTTGCTTTCGCGCACACGGGATTTCGGGACACGGACGACACGGAGCCGCACGTGTTAACCGCGTAAACGAGAAAACAAAAGTAATCCCTTAAGTATTATTATGCAAGGTCAAGGAAATTTTACCGTAAACGTTGATGAAGATTCGAATATATACCGAGGGCGAGTGTTATACGAATAGATTCAACAAAATGTTATTCACAATGCAAGGCAAATAGCTTTTTTTTACAGCAACGGTCTGACATTGGCTCGGGAAGCACTGTTATAGCACGGCTGCACGTTTCACGATACACGCATTCCGTGCCGACAGCATATCGATCGCACCTCCGTGAATTACGCGACGAATATTTGTTAGTGTCTGCCAGTAAATTGCATTAACAATGACATTTAAAGTGGACTAATTAGAAATAACGCGAAAGATTAATATAACGCAGATTAATATCGCGTAGTCCGTGCAAAATTCTTAATTTTAGCCATCAATAAGTAATGTAATTAAATTTTTGCTGCTCTCTCTCTCCCTCTCTGGTCCGTCATTTTTGTAATATAAAAAAAAAACAGCTTGCAACGAGAAGCACGACGACAGTTGCGGAAATGACGTTTTGAAAGCGAAACAACGTAGTTTTCAAAGGCAATTGCATTGCATCGATGTACTCCATATCGACTGATATGTGCCGCCACGTGCTGGCGCGCGTTCAAACAAAGAGACAAGGACGTTATTATGAATCGTTAAAGATATAGAGGCTTTCTCTGTAGTCTGTAGTCTGTATAGTATGGGTAGACGCGCACTCCGCTTATCCTTCTTTAGAACGCGGCGGATGCCAGACGCTTTATAAATGCTAATCACATGTTCTCACGAGATGCCTGCTAATCGAAACTGATACCGCGATGACCTCGCGGATATTCTCGCGGCGTCTTCCTGGCGTCGCGGTGCCCGCGAATATATCCTCGAGTACATCTCCGAGCGTCACACACACCTCGTTCCTTCTCTTCGCGTTCGAAAGTGGCTCGTTTACGATTACGAGCGAATGAGGTAGCAGTTTTTGTAAGCGGTAATCCAACTCCGTCGAGCGGAAGTATCGGAGTCGCGTATCGGAATTGGAATTCGCTCGGATTCGCGAGTACATATCGACGTCGATCCTATCCTTACCGACGCGCGACGACTGGCTTGGCGAAGAAAAGAGAACGAGAATATATGGGAACGGGTTCCCTAACGGATGTCCGAGAACAAAGGGAGACGGGACTTTCGAGTCAATACACTAGTCAAGGTCATTGCTACTTATTGTAGACGCAACGGCGTCTTTTTTATTCTTATCGCGCAAGTACGCGCGACGACGCGATCAGCTCGACTTAATATCAGTTGCCACGAGCATCGAGCCTCGCTCGGCTTCGATTAAAAACTCGTAAAAACATAATAACTTTTCTTCACGTTCGTAACTTATTTTTTCATACTCAATCCCTCAGTCGGATATATCAAATTTTGCTGGACATTCCATTCTATGTAATAGTTTCTAATATAATCAACAAAATCGGCCGTCAAATCGACGGCCACGGATTATTAATACTTTTAAGAAAAAGCGGTTCCTATATAACGAACAAGCGTCAGACGGGTCGAGGAGGGGTGAGTGAGAGGGGTTGACGACCGGGGCCGAGGTAAGAGGCAAAGCCCCCCAAGTTATTTATAAACTGCCTTCTATATACGAGAGAATTTACCCGAGTCGTAACCCCTTTACCCCGCATTAGCTACATTACAAACGAGGATCGAATGAGCGAGAGCCATTGCCCTCGCCGCAAACGTTGCGTTGTCGCAAGTTGCAAGTCGCAACGCACTGATTACGGCGCGGCGCAGGGATAAGGCAGAGAAGATGGCCGATCAACGTATTGATCTCGATGCAAATCGGACGCGAGAAATACATATATCTGGAAAGTAAAAGATATCATTAACATCCAAGTGAGCCGACACGCCGGTACGTTCATAAAGATTCTTAGGATATGATAATGGGTCTGTTTTGCTATTGCTGAACTGGCTGCAACTAGTTCAGACGTTATCTTTTTTTATTACTCCACATTGGAAGGAAAAAGATAAACTCTGAACCCAATGCTCGACGCTCGAACAAACGCAATAGAGATTTCACCGGGCTCTTTTAATCAAGTACGTTGGAGAAAAATATCACTTCAACAACAAGGAAAATAGTTGAAGAAAAGAGAAAGGACCTTGCAAACGCGAATGCAACGTTATACACGTATATCCCTTGTGCACTCGCGATATGCTTTCAATCAAACTCCTTACTTTTTTCTTAAATATTCTTCTAAAAGACATAAAATAAAATTTCTACCATCGGAGAAAGAAGAAAGAAGAACGTGCAACAGGGAGGCGACAGGACAGGCGACTCTGGCGAGGAAGTTGGCGGAGGATGCACGACGCGCGACGCGCGACGCCCGACGCGCGCAGTCAGCTGATAGTCCAGTCAGCTGTAAATGTACACAAAACCGTTGTCCAACAGGTTCACGCGTCGCGACGCGACGCGACGCCACGTTCGATCGAGTCGCGTACATAAATGTCGCGTCTGAGACGCTCGGATCGTCGCATCTCGCATCCGCAAGGGCATCTCGCGAGTCGCGCGATTCCTCCCGCTCCTCGCGAGCGCGAAGCCGCGAAGGCGCGTGAATGATCGCACCGATGAAAAAGCACGCTTTTTAATCGTGTTCCAAAGAACGTGATGGTTAAACGCCGATGCACACGTGCACGTCCGGCGAAAGTATATATATATATATTGTACGTTTACTTTGATTCAGGTTTAATTAATAAGCAGCCGTTTGTCGCTCGTCGCGCATCCTCGTTTTCCTGATTATAGTTACAAGATACGAATAATGGAGAAAAGCTTTTCGTTACGTTATTCAAACCGATCCAGTCGAAACATCTACGTGTAAATCGTACGAGCGACTTATGGAAAAGGAATACGCGCGAAAAGTTGTAGGGAAATAGTTGCGACGCAGGCAGCGTGTCACGTCGTCGTCGAGCGAAAAATCGAGAAAGAGAGAGAGAGAAGGAGAACTGTGTGGCGGCTGACTAAGATACGCGTCCCGATGCCGCGATGTTTTTACGACGCAACGCGACGCGTCTCGAATCAGCTGTGAATGTATACAAAACAAGCCGCGGCGCATTATCTGGTGACAGAACGTATTCGTGTATCGCTTATCGTACGCGTATGCCTGTGCGTGTGCGAACACGCGATCCGTTACGCGCGGAAAGAGAAATAAACAACAGCTTCGGAGTAAACAGGCGTACGCGACGAGTAGACGCGATGTCTAAACAGGTCCATTTTGCGTATATCCGATTAAACATTTTTGTGTCTCGATCTCGAGAAGAGGTTTCGAGGAAAGGTTGTAACGCGCTTCCGCCGTTTGTCGCTTTAAGGGTGAAACCCCGTGCGCATCGGTGACGTCCGAGTGTCCCACGTACCACGTCGCACGGACACCTGCGTCTACCCGTTCTCTCGTCCTGAAATATCATAGAGATCGTTCTTAAGAAAACCAGAGTCGCTCGGCTCGTGTCGCGCGCGCGAAAGGCGCGTTGATAAAATCGGAGCGACTCATTGATAACGGTGGCGGAAGAAGAATCGTGGATCGTTAATCCGACGTGATCCTCGCGGCAGAGAGAGACGGCAGACGAGGTGAGTCGAGCCAGACAAAGCGAGGCGAAGCGGAGCGGAGCGAGACGAGGTGAGGCGAGGCGAGGCGAGGCATGATGAAGGGTAAGGGGTGAGGGGTGAGGCGGAGCGAGACACGACGAATGAGGCAGCTGACAGGCCCCATCAGCTGAGAACGTACACAAACCCGAATGCTTTAATCGCGGCTTTACCCGCGAGCATCGTCCTCGGGGTCCTCGGTGCTACGCGCGACGATCTCTCGACGACCTCTTTGTCGCGAGGAGGATGTCTCTCGCCGACGCCGATCGCGGAAACGGTTCGAAAACAATAATGCGTAGTTCGAGGCGGACAAGTATGGAGTACGTAACTGTGATTCCGACTCCATTTCGAGCTCCGCGGCTCCGGGACGCGTGACGGGGACGCCTCGGCCTCGGCCGAGCCGAACGACGGAGAAAACTTGTTTCCCGATCGCGACATAAGTAAAGCGCGCGTCGTCTTGCGCGAAATTTCCGATTTCACGCCGAGGGTCCCCGTAGCGTCGCGTCGCGTCCACCTTTTCGTATGCGTGTGGCGAGCGAGCGCGTCGCGACTCGCGACCGCGGGATGTCATGGTGTCAATCTGCGTCGGGCTGGTCGTGGTAAACAAAGACGCGTGTACGGGAGTAAATGTCTGATCGGGGACGAGTTGTTGACGACGTTGACGTACCTCCATATGCATCCGTGACCGCTGCGGCGGAGCGCGACGACGGCGACGGCGACGGCGCGGGTTCTCGGTCTTCCCTCTGCCTCTGCCTCGCGACTCGTAACACCGAGCACGGATCACGGCTGTTTCGTCTGCCTGCTGTGCCACGAGCGACCACGGCGACGACGACGGTTCGTTTTGATCATCACTAACGCGAAACGCGCACGTCCGACTCCAACGAACGCCGTACCGCTGGCGCTGGGCGCTGATGCCAGTGATGCCTGATGCCGCTGATCGACTCGGCGGCCTCGGCGCTCGGCGCTCGCTCGGACTTCGGCTTCGGCGTCGTTCGATTTATTTCGGTTCGTCGTTCGTCCGCAAAGCGAAATCCGCGCATACGATGACCCGCGCGCACGCGCCCGACTCCGCCTATCGATTGCGGACATCGTCGCTAGGGCGCGCGACGGGCCGTCGCCGTCGCCGCGCGCGGATCGCGCGAATGCCGTGTGTATCACGCGCGCGCGCTGCTTCCTCTTTATACTTATTAACTACGACCAACTTCTCTTTGTCTTTGTGATTCATCGAGATTTTACGATTCATACATACATATATGTATACCAACATGTATATATGTGTGCACGCAGCCCAATATTTGTATCATTTAATATCGATTTTTATCACAAAAATGTTATTAGAAAATACATATCTCCCCCTTCTTTATTTTAGTGAATTGATTTTAGCCCGAGTAACCGAGTAAATATCATATATTCTTCCTTCTTTCATCATTTTCCTTTTTCCTCTTCTTCTCGCGTGACTTTTTACAGAGAATTTTTACAAAGATGATCGTCTTCCGATGGATGAGTCTTCTTTATGTGACATCCGCTTGTTATTTTTGCTTTTCGTTTTCAAAGAAAAACCGCTAAGATGTATATTCGCTCCGCACGTGGCGTTACATTTTTATTATTATTTTATTATATATATGTACAAAAAATTCGGCGAATCATGTTTTATCGCGAGATAATATAAATAAATGTAACAGAAAGAGTTAAAAGAAACAGATTAAATGTGCTTCCTTGAATAGATCCTTTTAGTACATTTTTCTCACTTAATTTGTACGTTTTCGATGTCAATAGATCATTATTTTAGAACGTAAAGCATTTCAAATTTCGAACGTGTCTTCGGCGCTCGCCGCTCCAGCATCAAAGTCAATTCAATTTATCATTATTATATGAGATTCAAGATCCGGTCGCATTTGCGTTCGATGAGCTGGCTTTATTGCGATTTGCATAAAACTCTTTCTTTAATTCGAATATTCGAATGTTACTTGCGAATTACGATACAAACGCAGTGAAAGAAAATGTTTCAACACGAGAGGTGACATTAGAGCATGGATAAATGCAGATAAATGGGGTGTGACGAAACAATTATGTAGTTACAACTCACGCATAATTTCATAATGATGATGATATATATAATATATAATTCTTTGCAAAATATATCGAGATATATTGATGCTCTTTTGAAATTGCACATGTTCTACACGTAATTGATTCTCTATGCAATAAGCAATTAAATGTATAAGCGAGATGTTCCTGCTTTACAAAAAAGATTTCAATAGAGCAAACTCTAAACTCTAATTCTTCCTTCTAATCACGATGTCTTCTTGCCTACTTCCGATATAATTCAAGTATTTCAACGAGATTCGCCGTTTAAAAGCATATTATTAGTATTGTGTGATGTTTTTTTATTTCGCGACGTTTTGCAATCCCGAAAATTAGTCCTATTATTTTGATTAATATGCGTGCTCTTGTTCGTATATTATTCATCGCATTACCTTCTCTTTACAATCCAGATATGACTAAAAGCGCACATTTAATTATTTTTAGAGAAACATGGTGTCGATTTTTCATTGAAATAAAAAATAACAAGATGCTTTGATTTCGTGACTCGTGACATTCTACGAATTAAGCTCAAGCGCAAATAAAATTAATTGCAGAACATCATGTATCGTTCAGTTTGAAACGGATTTCGTAAGAATTTAAATTTGAGAATACCATAGAATGCCAAGATTCTTAAAACTGCAGTAAATAATAATTCCAAAATTCTTGTATGTAATAAATAATAATCTTTCTTTGACATTTTAAAGTTAACTGACACCAAATTTCATACATTATATCCTCTTTGTGTCAATTTTAGTACATGTTTTTTAATACAAAACATGGTGAAAAATATGTCGGCTTGTGTATTTCAAAAATATTCGATTAATGAAAAGATATAACTTGAATCTTTTTTTTTCTTATTTAGCTTTTATATATTAATAAAAATAAAATATATATGTACGATCTTTTTGATCAATATTTGATACAATTCTAAAGTTATATATATATATATATATATATATATATATATATATATATATGAAACAAGAGAGTATTATGTGTGATTTATGCGATATGTACTTACTTTTACATATCGATGTAGGATCCACAGTATTCTCGAGCGTTATATTATTTGATAAATTTGTAAACAGAAAAGAAAGAGACGAGGCAACTTAAAAAAGAAAGACTTAAAAATTTTATGTGTTAGCTAAAAGAAAAATAAACATTAGTTAATACCTATAATTTTGTTCGAGACAGAAAGAGGCAGAAAAGCTGACACGTGATGAACGTTGCACTTAAAATTTCACAATTTCTTCATATCTGTAGATACCGATACGGCATCGGCAGCGTTATTTTAGAACGTCTACGTTATTTTAGAAAAGAAAGATAGATACGTATTAAAACTATGTAGGAAACCTTTATTCGTATTTCTTCCGATTTTCTAGCTATACTATTACTCTTGTTGACAAAAATTAAATTTGCGTTTTCTAGAAGAGCCCGCTAAGCAATCTCACACGTAACTGCACGCGACGTACATTTTGTTATCACGGAGAAAATGTTTTAATCGAAAAAAAAAAAACAATTAAGCACGTGGAAAGGCTTCTTGGGTTTCTAAACGCGAAGTGCACGTACAACAAGATTAATACATGATACATGTATCGAATACATGTATTAATCTTGTAACTTTTATAACTTGATGTAAAACTAATATATGCATTAATTCTCGTATATAACGTTAAGATCATATATGGCGTTCATACATCGCGTTAATTCCTCACGAAAAACATTTACATCCATTTATTGATATTTGGATTTTATAAAACCGGGATTCTTACGTATTTCTAAAATTTAACGAACAAGTTGCTCGTACGTTTAACGTAAAAATATAAATTGCGCGGGGCTAAAATGCTATCTTATATAGATCTAAGCTTTAAAAATGCTTCATAAATGCGCAATGTCTGCCACCCTCTTTCTCTTCGCCAAAACCCTTTACAGAAGAATCTCCCCCTTTCTGTTACTGTTTTACTGTTCACACATCGATTATCTCCTTTCAATTACCGTCGCACAAATACATTGAGAAGGATAACAACAAAGCAGCGATACACGGCGAACTTATTTTTTTATCTTGATTTATTCAATATGTGTTTTCTTATAAAGTGATGTCCTACTAAATAAAAGTAAATGAAAAAATCACCAAACATAATAGTTAATATATTCATTAAAATTCTTCTTCTCGTTAAGGCAACTAATTTGTTTTAGTCTCATTTTACATGTCTAGAGTATATATTTATATATTTATATATTTATATATTTTTATATTTGTATATTTATAAATTGTATATGTAAAACACTAATATATGGTTACTTTTATTTCCTTGTTACAAGCCTTATAGTAATTAGAATATAGTGTATATATATGTATATTCTTTGTATATTCCTATTCTTGTATGTAAAATTGATTATTATTTTTGAATCTAGAGATAATAAATATATATCTAACGTATATTGTTAGTACAAGAGAAGTGCGTGCAGAGGGTGGCAGCAGGGTGCGCATTTGGGAGTGCTAATGTTTCAAGGACTCTCCAGTCCCTCATCTTTATACCGTCTCACATGGTGACATTCAACTGTATTGCTTTAGCGTCCACGGAACATGCTTGCTGCTGCTGCTGCTGCGTCTGTTGTTGCTGCTGCTGCTGTTGTTGTTGTTGTTGCTGTTGCTGCTGCTGCTGCTGTTGCTGCTGCACCTGTTGTTGCACCTGTTGCTGTACCTGCTGTTGTATTGCCTGTAGTTGAATCGTTTTAGTATCGACGGTACACGTTTGCGGCTGTTGCTGTGGTTGCTGCTGTACTTGTTGTTGCACTTGCTGCTGCTGCTGAACTTGCTGCTGTTGTTGCTGTTGCGCTTGTTGCTGCTGCTGCTGTTGCTGTTGTGCTTGCTGAGCCGCAGCTTGAGCAGCTTGTCTCTGTTGTTGTCTAAGTATACTTGGTGGCGGATCCATATGCTGACGTTGATGTAATAACAAATGATTCTTCTGGAAGAAGGCTTTGCCGCATTTGTCACATACGTGTGATCTTATGTGGCAACTGCCATCTGTGTGACGTCGTTGATGCTGCGACAAGCCGTGTTTTTGTGCGAAACCGCGGCCGCAATCAGGACAAATATGTGGCTTAGGTTTTGGTCCTGTACCCACTGGTGGCGATGTTTGCGTCGCGCCATGCATATGACTGACACCAGGAGTCCCTATCGGTCCGTTCATCTAAAAATATATTATTAAAGGTATTATGATAAAAATATATTATTTATAATTTATATATTTCACATTTTGAGCAGATATTGCTACATTTATTCGATATTAAAATGTTTTTAACATTAAAGACAAAATAAATTTGCTAATCTTGCCAAATCTCATTATTTAAAAGCATTGTTAGTATTGAGTTGTAATAAAAATTGACACATGTATAATCATTATACCTGATGTGCTCCTGGAGTGTTTGGGGTAAGGAAATGTGCCGGAGTTTGCTGAAAAGCGGCTGCTAATCCACAAAGGTCTGTTACAAGCGTTCGATCACCAGTATGTAACCTCTGGTGCAAATTTAGAGCTTCTCGATTCGGGAAGTCCAAACCACATTCCCTGAAATAATAATTACTCATTAAGAACCGTTTATGTACGAAAATTGAACTTACTCCTTATAATAACTATATAATTTTCATCTTTTCCTCCCATTCTAATTGTAAGTGCAATCACTGTGCAATAATATTAAGTTAAATTTATCTCTTCTAATTTATCAAACATATATAATAATTTAGAAAGATGTTGGTGTTTGTAAACAATATTGATGTATATTAAATCATATTTACATGTATAGGTACCATAAATAAAGCAAAAATTTGATTCAACTTTCTTTGACGCTATATCTTATACCACAATATCTTCATTAATTCAATTTTGTGACGTCATATGATATATTTTAAATTTTACATATATATAAGCAGTAAATTTTCCTTAATATGTCTTACAAATATATTTCACTGTCAGAGTATATCTAACTACTATTAAAAGTACAAGTAAAAGAAATTATTAAACATAGATTTAATCTAGAAAAATTTATTTGTAATTTCATATAGCACACTCTTAATAACAATTAGAGTTATAACAAGGGATATATGGGATATGGGATATATCAAGAATGGTCTTAAGATAAAATTAATAAACTGTGCGTGCAGCTACGTTAAATACGATATCTCACCTGCATGTAAGGGACTTTTCATCAGTATTTGCATTATTGTTGTGAATCTTAGAATGAGCGACCAGGTCTGCTTTCCGAGGGAATGCTTCTCCGCAAACGGTACAAGCGAAGGGTGTCTCGCCCGTATGTAAACGCATATGAGCTAAAAGTGTTCGCTTCTGCAGAAATTCCTTTCCGCAGACGGTACACGAATGTGGTACTCTGCCATGCAGCCGGCCGTGATTAACTAGCTCGAACTTCCTCTGAAAAGTTGCACCGCAATCGGGGCAAACGAATGGATGTAGGCTGCCGTGGAAGCGCGAGTGCATCGTAAGATGATCCTTTTGCGAAAACGATTCCCCGCATTCTTCGCAAACGTAAGGTCTCTCCCCCGAGTGGAACTTACTGTGCGTCACTAAATGACGTTTTAGAGGAAATGCTCTTCCACATTCCTGACAGATAAACGGCCGCTCCCGCGTATGCACGCGGGTATGTGTTACAAGATGATGTTTCAGCGTGAAAGATTTTTTACATTCGCGACATTGGTACGGTCTCTCGGCGCTGTGCAGGAGCAGATGCGTATGAAGACAATGTTTGTGCGCAAAACTCTTGCCGCAATGAATGCAAATGTGTGGCCGTTCGCCGGTGTGTACTCTCGCGTGTGTGGTAAGATGGTGCTTGAGAAGAAAGGATTTTCCGCATTCCGAGCAAGAGTACGGTCGTTCTTTCGGTACACGGACCTGACTTCCCATATCCTGTTGCTGTTTGACTTTCGTCTCGATTTGCGTCGTATTGACATGGGTCAAAACATGGCCAAAGTGAGCGGTATTGTCCGTCTGACTGGTCGCAACGTTATTCGTCGCGTTAGCTTGATTGGACGCAGCAGCCGCTCTCTTCATCAAGATCTCATTGCACTCTTCCGCGGTAAGCTGCAACGGGCCGATCGGTGTCATGAAGTGCTTACTCATGGCGTGCTTGTCGGCTGTTGTAAAAACTAAGGTGTTTGAGAACAAGGAAGGCGGAGGTGTGGGATGAGCCGCGTCGCACGTACATCCCCCTTTGTCACACGTTAACGAAAATACGTCGTGATGCTTTTTAGTGCGAACGTGAGTGCCGTGGGTCGTTTGATTGTGTGCTCCGCCTGTATGGCCATGATGCGTAGTGGGTGTTTGCTGACAACTTTCGTTCATCGCAAACATCGGACGACGATGAGTGGTAGCGGTAACCTTGGTCGGCTTGATGTCGACTTGTATCTTCTGACTGGATCCTTGATCCTGGTTATTGTTGACGGCGTAACTGATGTTTGTCGCGAGTTCGCTTTGGGCGTTCTCTCGGGTCTCTGTCCCCGGTCCGAAGGACCAAGCATACCCGAAACCTGTACCCGCATTCCCAGGAGTGGTACACATATTCGTCAGGGTTGTGATAGATGGATTAGTCTGGCTGGACGCGGCACTGCTGATGCGTTGCTCCGTCTCTGTCAATGCATTTTCCGTGCCAGTCCTTTCCACTATAACAAACTGATCCGTGGGAAATATTTTGAGAGGTTCCAAGTAAACGTACCCGTCACGCTCCAGTATCTCGGCCTTGGTGGTAAAGTACGGGTGTCATATCTGTGCCAAGAACGGCCGTCAGGAACAGGGGACGCTAGACGCTAGACGCCAGACGCGGCTTGCCGGAGCTTGACGGAGCCTCGGTGTCCACGAGCAGGTAAGCAGATATCCCCGGCTATTCCCGGCTACAGAACTGGGCTGTCAAGCGGTTAATCTAGCAAAATTATGTCGCTACAATCATAAAAGCGTGCAACGTGCACCCGAGGCGCTTACGCCGATCTCGGGATCGCGAGATGCGGGCCCCGGGAGCACAAGCCGAGAGTCCGAGACGGAGGGCTGCACGAGACACGGTGAGCCGTACGTCGGCAATATCGGAGCAGGGCGGCCGTTTCGAAGGTTCGCCGTTTTTCCCTTTTCGCCTCTCTAGGAGCCGCTTTCGTATCGTTGCCGCGCCACTGTACACCAATAGAAAAAAGCACGCCGCCGCGGCTCTTCTATGTGTTGGAGACCATAAGTGATATCCTTTCGTTTCGGGTATTCGGGTTTCGGTCTTTCGGGCCCGCGGCCCGCGGCGTCCACGGGTCTTGAAAGACAACCTCCACCTTCCTCCCACGGCGCTCCCACACTCTCACTCGTGCTCCGCGCACTTTTTCCGTGTTTCGCGCTCACGGGGCTACGTTTTGACTTGGACGCACGCACGGCCGACGGTCATTAATTTTACATAATTGCATATTTTATTGTCCATACAAACTAGCCTCACATATCGGCCATTTTATTTGTAAACTACCAAAAAACAATGTTGCCAATGTACGCGCGATTTTGGAGGGAGCGGAATCGCCGATAGCGTCGCCGAGCGGGGCCGAGCGCCGACCGCTTCCGTGATGGCAGCACTTTTCCTTGTTTGCCGACGGCGCACGGCGCACGGCGCGCCAACGGCGCCACTCGCCAGTGTCGCCACATTTTTTCCGCCATATTCGAACACCACCGAACCGACCGAACCTCTTTTTTTTCTACGACTTCGGACTTATGACATGACCACTGCTGCTCAGTGCTCATCGGCCACCTCTTTCGCTTTACTTACGCTTTATTGTCGCCGTTGATCGCCGTCTCGTCCATCTCTAGGATTTTTCCGACTCGGATAGCTTCCACACGTATAAGTATGTATCGATAAATATACCATCGATACTTTGTTATTTCCAAATATTTCGGGAATTAATACTTTTTTCTGTAATCAGTAATAGAAACAATGGATACCCCCCTCCTCTCTCTCTCTCCCCTCCCCTTCTCCCTTTTGCCCATCTTGAAAAATTCTGGGAAATGTTTATCACGCGAAAATTTATTTTTTACAGTAAATTCCTCTTACAATTAAAGTTCTAATCCACATTAATTTTATACTGCTTGGGACTTTTACTGTAAAAGTTTTAAAATTTTGGATATCTAAAAATAATCACACAACTTCTCGAATTTAAGAAAGAATAAATTATTTGTTAATATATTTTTAAATTTATACTTTGATTGTGACTAAGTTCGAAGATCAAGTAAATAAATTGATGGAAAATTTAAATTTCTGTGTAAAATTATAGATTTTTAAATCAATTCGAAAGTATAATGAGAGAGAGAGAGAGTTCTCGATTGTATGTTAAGACAGTTGAGGGATATAATAATTCCTCATGCCAGTGAATAACTTTTGCAGGAGGGTGCGAGCACGCAGCGGACGGTGAACGGCGAACGGCGCGGCGGACTCACGATCAATGGGTGATCAATATCGAGGATAGACGCCAGCGTTGGCGATTACGCCGATCGTTTTCGTCATTTACAGCCGGTATGCGGCGAGTTATGAGACGTAGCGGTCGCTCTAGGTGATACGAGGACAGAAACAGTTTCATCGGACGGCTGGTCATCGCCGGCACTGGTAACGCGAACTCAGCAACTGATAAGCAAGCCCGCTCGTTAATGGTCCGGCATCATAGCTTGGCAAAAAGCCAATATATACCGTTAGAATGAGAATCTTTTAGTTTACGTTTATTCTTCCACATCCCAACTTCCACCTTTGCATGACGTTTGTGTATCGTACGTTAAACTATCTCTAGTTGATGTATGAAAGATATATACGGCGCTCACATCTTGTTTAAAGACAATGTACCAAATAATAACACGTATAACGTAGTTTATGAATTTTGAAATTTTTAATTTATCTGTTTTAACATTTGGAAATTGGTTTGATAATCAGATAACTGTTTATCTTGGTCAGGACGTTTTCTCGCGCCGTTTCTTATCGAGAGTTTTTCTTATTCTAATTTACTCTATAGCAATCTTCTCTAAGCTTCAGTTAATATAATTATTCCAATTGTTTCTACAACGTTTCCGCTACAACAGCACTACGAGATGGAGAATTTAGCAGATTTTACAATGCATTTGTGTGAACAGTAGTTATTTCCGACGGAGCGAAAAATGCATAGCCGCTTAAAGCATGTATATAGCAGCAAAGTGCGACGGCAGATGCGTTATTTATGTAGCGGTTCGCTAAGTACGTTTCGTTGTGTGATAGCTTCGATTCTGACGATCGGGGGATCGGGGGTTACGGATCGCCGACGAGGGGTGGTGTATCCTCTGTATTCTCTCTTTTTACAAGGAAGAGCCAGCGCGGAGAAGCGGGGTGGAGGACCCGAATCCTGAGGCAGTGGACCGTGAATGCGATACCAGCTTCACGTAGTGCGTCGGTGTAGGAGAGGGAGAGAGGGGGAGAGGTGCCGTCAAACAACCGTTCGTCGATCGTCCCTTCTCGGTACACCCATACTCATCCCTGGCTTCGTCCTCCTCGCGTCAGCAGCAGGGGGTGATTTGTACGTATCAATTATGTCTTCCCGCTACCAAGGGACCATCGATGACGTCGCTATCTCTCCTATATCGCGATTCAATGATCCAATGATTTTCACGTTCGGATTTTATCCAAGTTGCTCAGAACATAAATTACAATCAATTTCAGCTGCGATACTCTTGTTGAACGTCACGGCACTTTGTTATTCAAATTTCATATATAAAGTAAAAGATAAAGGAAACATTTACGATATTTCAGATAATATTGAAATTAAATAAAGATTAAGTTGCTCCGGAGGGTGGAAAACGCAATTAGATGCTATGTACGAGTATATTTTATATCTAAAGTAAAGAACTCCTGAATGATTATAGAAGAATATAGTAATCTTAAATGATACAAATATATATTTTTGTTATTTATTACATGAGAGCGATAGATAGTTGTAAACATAAAATATAAATTCTTTTGTAACACATTAATCTATTTATCCGTGAAATATGATAATTGTTTCTAGAGTGATAGAGGAAACCTGGCCGGCATTCTTTTCCTGGCTTAATTAAAAGATGATTGCTTAATGAGGGTCATCGATGTTCTGTGGAAAATGAGCTCCAATCGTGAACAAGGTCTACACACAGGGTGTCCTAACATTATCGTGAGTTTTCTTATCCTTAGCTACGAACTTTACGAAGATTTTATATCTCAACATTTAAACTTTCATTAACGTTTCAATATCAGAAATGTTATATTTGATAAAATACAATATTATGTGTATTTTATATAAATATTTGTTTATAATTTATTTAAATATTTATTTATAATTTAATATTATTGTCGAATTTAATTTTGTGAAAATATGCTTCAACCATCTTATCACTTAATACATTCCAACATATATACATGTATATCTTGATAGGTGCGAAAGGAAATTAATCGCAAGAAAGAGAAACGGAAAGAATTAATCATATATTTCGCTAAATATGTCTTCTGTTATATCAATACACATTAAGGGCCTGCACGAGAGCCGCGTTATAAGCACGATTGAAATCGCATTACGATTATGTTACTCCCAAGAGTAATCTAGCGACATACACGTACCGTACTGTTTGTTTGAAAATTTACTCGCCTAAGGGACTCACCATTGGAGACGCTTTTTCTATTCTCGAGAGAGAATGCGACATTGGTCTTCCTTTGATCTGGCGAACGAACCAACTTTTAAGCTTTCGGAAGTGACGGGCATGCAGATGGTTATGATAATAATAATAATTCGATCTTCAGTCTCCGGTGGTGGCGGTGATCCCGGCTTCTTCGCTCGCGCGCGCGCGCGCTTGCATACCAACGCGCACACTTGCTAGTTTATACTAACTCACGCGTACAACGTACACATCTACGTAGTGAAGCTGACGACTCTCAGGGTCGATTGTGGACAATACGAGTGGATGGAGTAGCTTCGAAATCGATCGAGAATTAATCCGGCGCTATCGCGTCTTGCAACTGTTGTCCCATTGTCTCATCGCGAACTAAAATGAAAGGACGGAAGGGAGAGAGATGTGCGGATAAATTGCTGGAGCAAGACTGAATTTTCTCTCTTCTTTCCTTCATTCATTCGGTGTGTCTCGGCGTTTCTTCGAAAATCTTCACGCCTATTCTTACATCCCTCATTTGCCGTCTTGATAGATTCTGCAGACTTTCGAGTTCTCGGTGCGTTTTGTTTCGCGGTCACGAAATTCTTCTTAATCGTCATATACTCGCCTCTGGAAAATAAAATAAAAATAAAAATAAAATTTTTTTTCTGCTTTTAAGTAATAATTAAAGAAATCATTGTCCGTCATTTTATAGCAATTATATCGCGGCTTCCGTAGGGTTAACCGCGTCTATCGCTTACAGCACATCGTTCAACGCAAACCAGGAACCACGTCCCTCTTCTCCCTCCCCTCTCTTTCTCTAACGCCTCGACCACTTGTGGTTTTAACTACCTTCGACGATCCCTCCTAGCGCCAAGTGCCGAGTGTGGCGAGAATTATGTAATTATTGCACGGTAATTGTCGCGAAAAATGACGGCTGCCTGAATGCTGCCTTAAGTGTCGCGACGAAAGCAGCCCGAAAAGGGGGTCAACTCTACTACTCGCCGACGAGATTCCTCTACGAAGTACAGCGTAGGTCGATTCAAGCTCCCGTCAATGTGCATTATTAAATTAACTTACAGCCATCACTGAAAAAAATTCAAAAGTTTAGGAATTTTAAATATAATTAGTTAACAAATTTAATCATTGCAATTTGAAAAGTCGAAATGACTCATATTTAGTTTTTTATTAAAATTGAAGTAAAGCGTATCGCGTGTGTCATATCATACGTGTTTTACGTACAATTATCGAAATTGTCGCAGTCAAGATTAGGTATATCAATATATCTCGAATTTAGGAGGAGATATCTAAAGTTTAAAAGTTTCTCAATAAAATATCTTGCTAAATCCGTCGTCTGTCGTACGTCGTCAAAACGATGATATAAAAGTGATATATATTGGATGCTCCAGACCGATTGCATTTCCTTTCAATCGCGGATTGGTATTACCTAGCTCACTGGCAGATTCGTAACGGTGATTAGCAAGGAAGCGTTCAAACGCTTTCGATGCTGTCCGACAGAAGGTCGAGGGAGGGCCTTCGGCGTTTGAGACTAGGACAACGGGAATAAGTTTGGTCCAGCTTGCTTTACCACTCTCAGGATCATGCATATAAAGGCGGTGACTCGTTCGCGAACCCTCGAAAGCCGAACAATCGCGGACGGCAGGAATTACCTCCTCACTCACGGACCCTCATCTCGCCCTTCGCTTCGCCTTCTCGCCTTTTGCCTCGCCGTAGTCCTTTTCTTCTGTTATACCTCCTTTCGAGTTGTACACTAGGCAACATGTATACTCTTACACCTCAGACTAGACACTCTCGGATCGAACACTCGTATTTAGATCGTAGATCGTGCATTATTAATCGGTGATTAAAATATCTACAGTTTATTTTTATTCTACGTTTAACTGACTTAATATATAATCTTTTAACGCTACGTTCAACTTTTTATATTAAACGTAATTGTTTTAAATTTGTAGACACAGCTTTAAATTGTAACGAACGATCTGGATGTGATGCATTCGATCCAAGAATGTCTAACTTTGGACGCGGAAGTATGTACATGGCGCCTAGTGTACTCTTTCTCACGCCGCTATAGAGTCTATAGACCGCCCGCACTTTCTCGTCCTCCAACGGTGCCAGAGTCATAACTACAAGGGCTACAATGGATAGAAACCGCCGCCGCCGCCACCTTTTCTCCGCCACTTATCCGTTCCGCCAAATGATTTTGACCGTCGCGATTTCACGCGCGTAAAATCGTTGAACGGATTCACAAAAGTACGAATCTTCTCGGCCAGGACATCTTACACTTGTCGGTATTACGTTGCACCACCCCTTTCCAAAGATGCTCCGTTTTAAACGCTACTGAAAATTATTTTTCTTTATTTTGCAACTATTACGTCGTCTTCTTCACTTTTAACTTTTAAGTAGCATACATATAACTATCTCTTGCACATCCGGAATATTATTATTATTTGATTAATTACATTATTTTATATATTTTCACATAAAAGTATTTCATAAAAATTATTGAGCATTGTACATTGTCAGCAACATTTTGCAACATTTAAAAATTGGTAGTCAATTCTCATCTACATAACTACACTTAATTGTGAAACAATGTATATTCTAAGAAGTTATCTATAACAAAAGGTAAAACAAGATTCCACGTAGATGTACATACGTACTAAGGTTTTTACGCAAAAAATAATACGCGCGACACGCAGGAACGAAAGTTTATCGCACGTTTTACGCGAAAAATGACCTTTGGCCACATGCCAATTATGATGAGACGATGTTTCACCGATGATTTCACCGCAGTCATGACAACAACTGCGATTATCACACGGTTTTGCATAATTTATTATTGTCGAACGATTCGCCGTGCTAACGCGTAACACCGCGCGGCTCGTTTTATATAGGATAATAATGAAAGAGTGAAGAACGTAGGTAGGTAAAAAGTAACTTGTTAAATAGAACTCGTCACTATACATTATATGTATATCTCACATCGGTCGCTGTCTATTTTATATCAGTGTAGAATTTCAAATTGTATATAATTTTATCAAGAATCTAATCAACCTGATATCGAGTTTTCCTTGGCAGAAATTAGATCGGACATTAGCTTCTTCGCCGCCATTAAATATACGTTCGTGATTAAATTTTTATAAAAGTTTATTTAAACTTAGATCGGTAGCTTCGTCATTTGCTATTCTTGTCGGAAGTTGGTTGGTAAAAATTTTTAGTATTTTTAAAATTGCTTGTAAATAAAGAACTCTTGACATTGCACTTGTGATAAAGGGAAAATTTAAAGGGTCCAAAGGGGTCAAAGCGTACGGCTGGAAAATTAGCGACTTATTTTAAAGTCACCCTGTATATTCCGATTACACGCGTGCTTCGCGATAAGTGTGCGGAAGGTCGTGACCGATATCAGCATATTATGTTACAGGGCGCTTTTTCGCAATTCGCTGCGCACACGGTTGCAGTTACACGGTTACGTCGAAATGTCGAATATCGATGACCACAAGGTGCAGTGACGCGCGGTGATGGATGCATCAGCGGGACCAAAGCACCGGCATTTACCACAGTCGTTGGAAGGCTGAAAGAAATCGACGATGGGTCTGCAGCCTGCAGCCTGCAGCCTGGGCTCTGGGCTATGCCGTGCGCCGAAGGGAAAAGAGAGAAATTGGCGAGTAAGACGGAAAGAAAGAGCAAGACCGCGCGGAGATTAGATCCCGCGGGATGAGTAGGTGGGATTGGATTTGGCAGGCGCGCGGCTCGTTGGCGGTAGATGCCGGTGATGCGAAGGAGTAGGACAAGAAGAAGGGGCACGGGGTGGAGTTTGGTTGGTGTCCGAACGGCGGAGAGGCTGCAGAAGGGAAACTCGGAGTAGGGTAGACTATTGGAAGTGCACCCGTAGTAGAGCAGGACGGGGGACGAGGGAGAGAGCAGCGAAGAGACGAGAGAGAAGAGAGGCCGTAAGTGACAGAACCGTGGTGGTATAGGTGAACTGCTGGACAACCGAACCACCCGAACTGTACTCGGCGGTATTTAAGGGAGAGTCGCGAGCGTAGCGCGCCAGTTGTTAGTACGGCCGGTTGGTGGTTGGCTTTCGCGGACTGACACTTACTCGATTGTCACGTCGCGTGGCGCCGAGTGCAGTTGAAGCGCCAAAAGCGTTGCACGAATAAAAAAAAAAATATATATATATTTTTTTTTTTAATAAGCTAATCCTGCTAATCTTAACAATCTCGATAAGTAATCTCGATGAATAAATTCAATAAATCTTAATAAAGAGATCGCTTAGTGATGCTTAAAGTGAAACAGGCAGTCATGTGACCGTGCACCGCTTTTTTTTCGTCAATTCTTTCGGATTTGCACGATATAATTAAGTTATCTTTTTTTCACACGATTGTAAACACATAAGTGCAAAGTTAAGTGATTATTTGAAAGATTCCAAAATTTCTCCTCAAATCGGCGATAGCGTTATGTGAAAATACACATATGGCATTATTTGAACTCTTCGTGCTTGAAGATCGAGAGAATTTGACATTTTTGAATTTTGGATGGTACAGATGAGTGTATCAAAGAGGTATGAGCACGTTTGTCGTCCACTTCATGTAACTTTTAAGAAAGCGATAATTATTTTAAAAATAATTTTAATTTTTAATTTTAATTTCACGAATTTCTTATACCTAAAATAATAGTCAAATAGTAGAAAAATATTAAGAAATGTAGATATTGAGAAATTTAGTTATAAAAAAAATGATGATTATAGCTTTGAACTTGTGATACTAAAAATAAAGATAAGTGTAAAAAGAAAGATAAAATAGATGACGTGATCTTCTCGTGATAGTATGTTCACGAATAGCGTGAGAAGTTATATCGCGTTAATATAAATATATCTACATTTTGCGCCAATAAATAATGTTGCATTTATATTTCTCATTTTTTTAAACACTATTAATTACACATTTGATAAAATAATTCTAAATATTATTTTACAAATAATAAGAGAAAATATATTGATAATATCGATTATATGGACTCAAATAGGACATTTGAATAATTGTTCTTAAATTGAAAATGCAAAAAAATAACGAAGACGTATTTGCATAATTTTAAAAAGCAAATGTAATTAAAGAAGAATTTTTTTATTATATATTTTTGGATTTTTTTTTTTTTTAATATCGTGCATTTTTTGTTTTAATGGAAAATGTACATTTTTGTTTTTTACTTCTTATTTATTTTTGCTGTTATATATAAGTTACTTTTTAAAAATTTTTTCTTATGTTTACGCGTCCACAGTAGAATTAATCAAGTATCCTGTTTTTATCGGATCACCTTGTATATTCCGACCAAAGAACTTTTAAACGAGATTAGGTAGTAGGCCTATATGGCATGCTATAAATGCGTAAAAATATTGTCTTATGACTTGATCTTGTAAGTTTTGAACACATAATTGCTGGAATGATTTCTAAAATTATCGTATAAATATGTATTTTATTTTTGGGTAATAATCGAAATAATTTATAATTCTCGGAAATGTGATATTACAAATTTATTAATATTTATGAAATAAAAACTATAGATTAAATTATAAATTTTTTATCGGATCTTCAAATTATGACACGAACTTGCGAAACATATATTGAACACGTTTATCTTTTTCGGAGTTTGAAAGAAACTGCAATACTGAAAAAAAAGTAAAAAATTTATACAGATATAAAAGCAATAATCAGATTACTATCTTTTATCGAATATTACTATATTCAATAAAATTCAACATTTACAAATTCAATTTTCAAAATTATTTTCAAATTCTATGCAAGGAAAACGATAAGAAGCTATAATTATATTGTAACTTGTTCAAGATGTTTTTTGAATAGTACAATTAATTATTCCATAAAAAAATCTTGTTATACAAGATGTATCAGAAGAACATTGAAATATTGGCAGGATTACAGACAGCATCCTTATAATTATTTTGAGATAGAGAATGTAAGTAACGAAGTCTTTTCGTACCGGAAAGTTTTATATATTTAATTTCGTTTCTGTATATCTGTACTCTGGTAAAAAAATATTTCGGTGTTGTTCTGATAGATCTACGCTTATATATTAGTTTAAGAAATATTACAAATTACAAGAGCCTGATGGCTTTCTGGAATAGGTACCCGATGCTGCTGCTGCTGGCATTGGGGTTGATTTTCACGCAATCGTCTGTCGGAGCTTTACCACGAGAAGGTACATATTTTGCACGATCGAATGTTTCGTCCGAACTGACCGGGACGTCTTCCAGTCACAGTATTTCGGTCATCAGGATCTTGTCCGATGGACGAGTGGAACGGCTCATCCGGTGGCCCGGAGCTTGCGCCAAGGAGATCACTGTCAATTGGGGGTGGGCATAGCCACATTTCTCTTTTTACATCTTAATACAATTGAAACGTTGAAATAGTTAGACCGAGTCAGGCAGCTTTGATACATTCAAAATAATGAGCGCTATTGTATAACATATATCGAGGTCTGAACTCGCCGATGTTGCTCTGCTTAGTACACGCTTTCTTTCACGAAACATATGTGTCGAGTGTTTTCGTAGTAATAAAGGCTAGCGTGTAGTAACTTGTACTATCCTCTTTCCTGAAATAACATTTTCTCGGATATAGGCAAATCTCTTTTTCCTATCCCACCCATCGTTCCGTCCGTATGTAGTCGGGAGGATTGAAGCGGCGGGAAGTGCGGGAATCTGGTTGGCAAGCACGAAAACAATGCCGCCTTTCACTATTGCCAATATACGTGAAAGCTTGACTGTTATGTATACATTTAGCGTCGGTTAGGTCTTTCAAATGCCATCCATCGCTCCGAAGAACGCTGATACAGTCTAATGGAACGGTCTATGTGAATCCTTGTCAGCCGTAATAAGTTTCAATACAATTGTAATGCCGCGTTAACGCCTATGGAAAAGAATCGATGTTCAAACCAATGAATAAATTCTACATTTTATTTCTTCTTCTCTACCGTATTACATTAAAGGACGAGTCCATTTTTAATAATTAGTTTTCAAAAAAATTGTATGTGTTAATATTTACATATATCTGCTAATATTTATACATAAATAGTCTCGATGCTAAGTTAAAAAGTTTATATATCAAGTTTAACTTTGCGTCACAATATTTCAATAATTTTCTTTGTTTAACTATGTATGGATTTAATAATAATCGTTTGAAAAGTATGCAACAGGAATGTGTCAAAAATACATTCTTTTTTAAAATATGCAATTTTTTTTAAATAACAAGAAATAGAGAAAAAAAGAAGAAAGATAGTATTATTGTTATGTACATACAAAAGATATCGATAATTAATAAATAATGTTTAACGAAAACACCTGCATTTTGTAAAAGATGCACGAAAAGAAAAAAACGCAAAAGTATATTATGCCATAAAAAATTAATAAAATCAAAAGAAACAATTTGATTACATAAAACAATATTGATAAAATGGAATAATATAATTGTTATTCCATTAGATTTGAAAGCCAAAAAAGGGGGATACAATTTATCATGTTTATTCGTTGACAGTAACCGCAAAGCCAAGCAAGCTCTTAAGCCGAAAAGCGGCAAGTTAAGTAAGCAAGGATTAGGTTCTGCGACGAGCGGATGTCCTGGAACCTCTACGTTGCTCTACGTAGGGATCGGATTGGCCCCTTTTGCGCTGGACCTAAACGTAGTTCGGTAGGTCGCCGTCCTGTTTTACTCTCCTAGATGGGACTCATCTGCTGATGCTCTCACGAGGATACCACGGAATACCACAACCACGAAGCGTCACTTTGCACTTAAACGCAGGACGAAAGCTCTTTTACCGTCGTGAAGAAAGTGCACGCCCTGCTTTCCGTTCCGTTGATCGTGTCCCCTCTTTTCGAATTTGCTCTTATCGCCTGAATTATTTGTTGAGAAAATTCGATTTTGTTTTTTTCTTCTTTTGTATTGTATTATGGCACATTATGCTAAATAAGCAATCATAGAATTATGCAGATCTATATGTAATATATCTATATGTATAACGTTGATATAAATCGGTAAAATTATTATACGTATAGTTTCTATCAATTTCAAGACGGTAAATGAATAGGAAGTTTATTTCGCTAGGATATAGTTGGATAGACTTGACTAATACATGTATAACATCATGAACTATTTTTCAAATTTTAATATTTTTCTTTATCATTTTAACGCGTAAGATTTAACCGAAAATTAGATTATAATAACGTTTGTTCTTTTGATAGAAACACGGATGTGACCCTGCGACAAGTCTGGCTTCGTAAGTCGAACAGAAAGCTGCAATTGATATACGCCGGTGAAACATTGACTGACTGCATCGACGAGAAGCTCGCGTGGTGGGACGACAGCGAGTGTTTGCCAAGCTCTCGCGGTGTCTATCGCTATCACGATGACGGTGACGAGGTGTCGATCGAGGTGTTCCAACGGGACGGTAAGGACATTTCGAGGATTCCCCGTGACCTCTCTTGGCTGTTGTCGACATCGGAGCTTCGTCACCGATGCGATCGCATGAGGATGCGAGTACGAAGCCAAGCCATGACCCAACATCGACATAGGTACGAGTATCTAGGATCAGCGATCAGTATATCCCTCGAGAGCTGACTCGATCGCTTAATGTTTAATCCCTCGGATTAAGCTACGTAAGCGAAGGCGATGCCGGTTATACAAAAATATGCATTGAGAAAAAGTGAGCTTTCTTTGTAACAGGAAATACGCAAAATCAACGAACGCGACAGCAAGTAATGGAAAGCAAAGTCGGAGTCGGAATCGGAGTCGAAGGGAATTATTCATGATACCAGGGACGCAATGGTGCGGTCGTGGTGACCGTGCTACCAAGTATACCAATTTGGGCGGCTTTGGCATGGCTGATGCCTGTTGTCGCAAACACGATACAGCTTGTCCTTTTTACATACCGGCGTTCGAGACGCGTTACGGCGTTTTCAATTGGAGAATTTCGAGCATGATGCATTGCGCTTGCGACGAGCGGTTAGTAATTAGTGAAATTATTCAATAATACGGTCTGAGTATATAATTGGGTGTTCGAGTAATTATTTAATCTTCAGAAAATATTGATTGGGTTTGTTTAATGTAATGATGCGTTTTAACGTGTTTTAATGCATGCGCTGTAAAGATCTTATGCTCGACATTCGATAAAAATAGTTGGTATCTCTATAGCTAGTTAACAAATGACACAAAATTTATTATTAATGTGTTCAAGACAATTATCGTATTTTTGAGATCTTTTTTTATATGTTCCAGATTTCGCACGTGTTTAAAAATGGCCGGAACTGCGTCGGCGGATTTTATAGGCAAAATCTTTTTCGACGTACTCCAATCAAAGTGCTTTATTTTGAAACCACAGAAGGTATGCGTAAAACGTTCTTGGTGGGGTAAATGTCAGCATCACGAATATCGAAAGCAGGCCTACGTACGAGATAATGTTCCTTATTAAGGGTGTACAGCACAAGAAATAATGAGGTATTCTTCTTCCGGGGATGTCAATAGCAATTCTCAGGGATATAATATTTTGTCGAATACTTATAATATGTCTAGAAAAAGACAAAGAAAAGAACTTGAGTCGATTATTAAATTCAGAAATTATATCACCAAATATACGATTGACAATACATCGTAATGTCTTCAATACAGAGAATCGTTATATCAAGTCTGCCGATAGCTATATCAGACATCTTGAATTATGATGGCAGAAACGAACAGATCGTATGTGAGTGCACAATCTTTTCAATTTACTTAATTAATTATTAATTTCCAAATATGTTTTTCTCAACAAAATCGAATAAATACAATAAAGTAAGCAGCTCTTTCTGTTTCTCTAATCATATAAGTATATATTTTATAATGTATTTAATATATTGCAATATATTTTACAAGAATAAGAATCTTCCATAATAGCGTACATTTGATAAATGTTTATTTAAATTTAACTAAACCGTTAAATTAATTAATTTCTTTTTTCACTTGTTTCACGCTTAAAAGCTTAACAGAAAGTCGGTATAGGTATCGGTGGTCCTTATATATGTATAGAGTTATATTAAACTTGTAGATAGAATTCGTTAACTTTTAAATATTATTAGCGAACTATTAACGAATTAATAGAATCGTAAATTTAAGCTTTAGTTTATTAATTCTGAAACTTTTACATAACATTCCAAACATGTAAAAATACATAAATAAGAAGAGATAATAAAAACTGCGTATAAAATATAATCAATATTTAGGATAGCCTAGAATTTTTGATGAAAAATTATAATATATATATGTATATTTATATTAGTTATAAGCTGTACAAGATAAATCTAGATTTTATTAAGATTAATAATTTTATTTCTTATCTATTACCGACATACATATGTTCTGATACGATTTGACGTAATATAAATTTTATCTAGAAATTGTAGAGAATAAGTCACCAAACTTTCCAGAATCGCGCGCATATTCTTTGATCAATATTGACCCGATTATTACCCACTTTAATCAAATTAACTAGCATTTAATTCTTTTCTAATACTTAATATTCAACATTAAATATTTTTATAATTAATACATTAATAATCTAAAAGTTTTCTTAACTTCTGTTTGAAGAGAGAAAAGTTAACTGAAAGCGAAATAAATAAAGTCAGGTTTTTTTATTTATTTTTTATCCCCTTTAGAAACCTATCGCTTTTAGCAGTAAAGGTCTATCATGTTGTAATGCTTTATGTCGATAACTTCTTCTCACAGTCACACGACCAACGTGTTCTTTAAGATAAGTATAAGTAACGTGCTGCTGTGCGTCTAGCATTAGATCTGTTATCACATATCATTGCACTTGCACATACGAATCTTCTAAAATAGTCAGGTCACGTGGTCGATCCCGCCAGTTTACAGTCTGCACATGCGCGTAAAAGTGCTCACATCTCCATCTCACCTGTCACATGTGTGCGCATGTGACGAGATTGGGATTTTACTCTTTCGTTGTGCCGATGAGACTTTACCTCGTTTCAATATAAAACTTGTAACAATATAATGCAAACACGCGTACAATATATAAAATATTAAAGAAAGACATCATTAGAAGTTAGCAATAATATGTCAGTTGCTTAAATGACTAAGCTTGCTGCGCGAGGTTATCTGAGGATGCATAACACGTATGAGACGAGAGTGAAACAAGGCAGTATACCTTGTTTATGTACGGAATTGAACCTTGCTCTCACGTTGCACGGTGGCCAGAGTTTCAGGTAATACTTGAAATACATAAACACTGCTCTAAATTAATTCATGCAATGAATAACTACGTGTATATGATTCTGAAAATCACATATATTACTGTTAACAATTTAGGAATATATACATATATTAAATTAGATAGTATTTAAGCTTATCTTTTTTAAATTTTGTTTCAAAATTATAGGATGCTAATGACTGTATTTCAGATGGACAGTTTGCGACTCTGGATACAGAGGTATCTTCAAAGGATACATTTGGACTTTGTCTCAAAATAAAACCCATCTCTTATATACTGTGCAAGGACAATTAAAGGATTCTGTAGACTATGATAATATTCTGTCTGAGTATTTTAGGCTGTCAGTATCGTTAAAAAAACATTATAAAGAATGGGCAGAAGCAGATACACACTTTCAAAAGTGTTTAGATGAAAATAATGCTGTTCGAATATTGAAGCAAGATCCCGTAGAGAATTTGTTCTCGTTTATCTGTAGCTCCAATAATAATATATCGAGGTACACTTTTAAAACATTATTCAGTAAAAATAAATTTAAATTGCTTGCTAAACATTTATCTCTTTTAGAATATCAAATATGGTTGAAAAATTGTGCTCATTATTTGGTCGTAAAATATGTTCGATTGAGGATAAAGATTATTACGATTTTCCAACGATAGAAGTTTTGAAAGAACAAAATGTAGAAAGCATATTAAAAAGAGAAAAATTCGGCTATCGTGCTGCGTACATAGTTAATGCGGCAGGGCGTTTATCAGCATTGGGTGGAAAGGATTGGCTCCTAAATCTACAAAGGGAGAACGTTTCTTACCACGCTGCCAGAGAACAACTGATGACCCTGCCAGGAATTGGTCCTAAAGTTGCTGATTGCATATGTTTAATGTCACTAGGCCATTTAGATGCTATACCTGTTGATACCCATATTTTCCAAATAGCACAGGCAAATTACTTACAGCATTTAAAAAAGCAAAAAACAGTTACACCAAAAATTCATACTGAAGTAAGTAATTATTTACGAGAATTATGGGGTCCGTTGGCTGGATGGGCACAAGCTATTGTATTTTCCACAAAAATTAATGATAAATCTAAATCAACTGGGAAGCAAAAACGCAAGAACAGCGATAACAAAAATTTAGTACAAGCAAAAGTACTTAAGGTGGTATGATCATTATGAAATCGTGTTTATTTTCACAAACAGTAGATTATGTAAAACAATTTTATCCAAGTCTGTAGAAAAATCGTATTTTATTAATTGCCTATTTAGTAACAAATTATTTTGCATAATTTATATGTCGCTAAAATTTATGAACGATATAATTATATATTGATTTTGATAATAAAATGACATTATAGTTATCTATCTTTTAGAGAAGAGATCATAAATTTTGTTTTTACTATCCTATGCGTTAAGAAGAATGAAAAGGCAAGACAATTGTTTGAAAATATTTTACAAAAATTATTTATCTTACAGTCACATACAGAGTATTTTGTATACTTTATTTCGTTCGTTAGTAGATATATATATATATACATATATATATTTATACATGTACAATCATTACAATTTATTATAAAACTGAATGCATGTCATGGTGGAAATACTGTGTATTGCTAACAACGTTTTTTCTTCTTTATTCCAAGTAAAAGAGCGTAATCTAAATCATCTAAAATAATATATTCCGGAAATTCAATGTCTTCTTCGCTATTGCAATCTGTCAATATACAATAATTACAATTATTTATATTGCTAACTTATAGATACATTTAGAACAAAGAAACAAAGAGCAAAATCTGTTTAAATTACCAATAGATTTTTGTAATATATCAGCAAAGATATTTTGAGTAAGATAACGCAAACCAGGACATTTTTTCGATAGATATGCCTTCTGAGAAGGCGACAAGACTGCTAAACAAGTAGTTTGCAAAGATACCGGTGTTGAGCAACTCCAAGTTAATTTCATTACACATTGAGCCATCGTAGAGCTCACTAATGGATAAAGCGTAACGTTGTTCAACTTTGTAAAAGCCACACCTACAAAGGGATCAAAATTATATCTCTAAACAGAATATATGGTGAATTTTACTGCTTACCCAATGGTTCTCGATTGATAAAAAATTGTAACGTGCCGGTCCAAGCATCGAGATGTATCCCTACCAAGTGTTCTCCTATATTTTGACCAAATGGTCTCCCATATTTACACGTCTTACCATCGTGCTGTAAATATCCTTTATATGAAAAACCCCAAGATTCTCGATCTCGTCCAAGCAGAGCACAAAAATCATCGCCTGCGTCATGAAGTTCTGCATTTGCAGTTCCTACACCAACCATCTAACGAGGGTAATGCAAATTGAAGTGATAAAGTTATTTCTTAAACCTATTGAAAGGGTCTATTGTCTATACAGATTCAGCAAGATGTCACAGAAACTTACCACGTCAGTGCCATAGATATGTGTTAGCATTAAAATCTCCCAAAAATGATGTCTTCCTTTTTCCAATGGTGCGTTACCCCTTACAACAGCTGTGCCAGTGCTATATACGGGATGAAATGTAACATTTAAGTTATTGTCCGATAATTTAATCGACGAAGTTGAGAATTTCTCATCCCAAGTCCATTCATGCTTTGATGAAGATAAATCTATAAGAAAATGCGTAATTAATCATTATTTTTAAATCTGCTTTTGCTTTCCCAGAAAAGAAACGTATAATACTTCAATTAAATATTTAAACAATAACTTACAGTCTTCTGCTTCGGCATGCTGATCGTCTGTAATTAAATCCATATTTTGTGAATTGTTCGATTATTGTATTTATATTTATCATAGAGATATTTTTTCTAAAGTCATCGACTAACGTAAATTGTAGTATCGACAAGCTCATCTATTTTTTGTATCACTTGTAAGATCTGTGCTTATAAACTCACGTGGAAAAAAAAACGACACGATATGTCACAAACGCATTTGCAAACGTAAAGTTAAAATGGGTGCACTAGTGCTACATCGGGTGCATCCAGGCACATGAGCACAACTGAGCACGACCGCTCACTCGGCTCACTGAGCTAAGTAGCAATAGACTGTGATTGGTTCTTACCTTTGGATCCAGCAAATCACACTTAATTGCTATTTAGCCGCTCAGTGAATTGCATGCACCCACTGCTACATATGCTCAAGTAGTGATTGAATGTGATTGGTTAGATCCAAAGGTAAGAATCAATCGAGTGGGACTCAATTGATCACGTCGTCAATTGACTGATTTATAATAAAATGAAGTAAAGTATCTGATTGACTAGTCCAGTGGAAAAACTCTAGGCACCGGGGGCTGCGAGTGGCTGTGGTCACGCGCAACGTGGTCAAACGGGACACTCCCAAATCAATCACATTCTCAGTAAGGGCTCAGTAATTCGTTAATGAAAAATGAATGTATATTTATTGTAACAAAATTTAAAAATGCATTTTTTTTACAAATAAAGGTAAAGTATTAATTAAATTCTCTATCTAGAAGTATTCTATTGTTCCAGCCATTCTCTGAGGTATTGACAGCTGAGAGATGTAAAAGTACCTTCATCAGAACATTTCTTTCTCACCTGAAAAAAAGTATGTAAGAATAATATATTGCTTAAATCTTTGCAGTGATTACTGTAAGAAATATAATGTATTCGTAATATATCTTACTGGACATAAGCCACAAGGATTTCCTATTAATCCAGATAAATTCACCAAAGGCCGAATGGATTTGTATACATTTTTGTCATCTCCCGAGGGTATTTGTTCAATCTTACCGTCGTATATTAAAGTTTTCAAAATCATTTCCATTTCCTTTATAGATAATTTTACCTGTATACATATCAACATATCAATGTCTTGAATTTTAAAAGCAAGCGCTTTTGAACAATAAGAAAACATGACTTTTGACGTTACAAAAAATATTACCTTGCTTATTCCTAAATCTGAGATAAATTTCCATATTTCTTCAGACGAAGCAGACATTGCATTTCTCGCTGCAATAGGTCCAGAGTTAAGACTTTCCATGTTTTCTCTCTTTTGTTCTAAAAATTGATAGCATTGCTGGCTCAGTACATCAATAAATTCCGTTTCAATCTCGTTATCTTGATACCACACGCTGCCCGTTATGGATACATCTGGTTCTAAATGGTACAGCATGTGCATTTTTTTGTTACTTGTCACAGATGTCTTGACTTTTATTAATCGCTTATCCTCAAAGTTTTTCAAAATTGTTCGTAATTGACTAGGCATCAAATTAGTTTTCTTTCTTATATCTCCAATCCATATTCCTTTATTTCCTACTTCTTCAATAATCTTAAATACCATTTTTTCTTCATTAGTAGAACCTTTAACAAGCTTGGTCGAATCTTTAAAGCGATAAACCAATAATCCTGCTTGCTTCAAGAGTTCAACATGCCCTTGCGACACAAGCTTATTTATAATTTCTCCCCGACGGTGTGGTTTTAAGTCGGGCATCTCGTTACTCAAAGCTTTGTCAGAAATACCTTTAGGTTTCGCACGTATTAAAGCAATTACTCTGTGAAAAAAAATATATAAAGCATAAATAATAGATAATTAATAAACAAAAATAAAATAACAAGATGAACTTTTATTATATATTCATTATCTATAATATAATTGTGAAAAAACGATTATGCTAAAGGCGAATTTTATTAAGTGGTATTATTCTCGACCAAAATGTAATATTGACCCGTTATGGTAGGTGTAATCTACAAAAGACTGAATCAGACACCGTGCCTATATATAAAATATATCGCTATTGTTTGACATAAAGATTTTTAACGTTAATCGTCATTACGTATCGTCATTGCTAATTAATTCGATCAAGTATACATGTATGTCGACTCTCCGCTCAATGAAGCGCCGTATCATGATCTTTCTTATTTTGTAAATTAATTTGTTTTTAAACTGAAACAAAACGATGTTTTTTCTACTGACATATCGCTTCACTCATGTTTCCCACGTGATCAGCTGATCACGTGACTGCGTTAGATAAAGCGAGAGCAAGACCCTGAGAAAGAAAGTGCGCACACGCACACGGCGCACACCCTGCGCATGCGTCACTACGATGTTGCATTTGTACGTAAAGCCCCTTGCACAATGCCAGGCAACAGGCAATAGGAACAGGAAATAACCAAAAAATCGTTAATTACAACCTAAAATATTCAAATACTATGATTGGTTGGCAATAGGCAATAGGCACAGAATTTTCAACGTGACGAAAACTCTGTGTCTATTGCCTGTGTCACTGTTTATTCTGCATTTATACATGATTTCTGATTTCTATTCCCTGTTCCTATTGCCTGTTGCCTGGCATTGTGCAAGGGGCTTAAGAGCGGAGCGGACTCGGAGTAGTCGGCGATTGAGTGAAAAAACATCACAAGAGAATCAAGAGATTATTACGCAATACTCGTTGTCAGTTTTGTCAGTACTCTGCCACAAAAGAAACGAGAATCCGTCATCGAAGAGGAACATGCTTAATCACGATAAACTGAACAAAACGGAAAGTCGACTACACGTGGCGCTCCAGTACCAAGGTACTTGCGATCGAGACGTGTTATACATACCTCTGCTCTATTTCCATTTTGCAAGGCTAATTGCAAAACGATCGAGATTATTCTTTTTTAAGATTACGCGTTCACCGCGTTCTGATTTTTTCTTCTTTTTTCTCTCTGATAAGTGTTTCCGTGTAGACGTAGAGTGTGTGGACTTGTAATCTCTTCCGAACTGCTGTTTATTTCAATGATTCACAATCTGTTCTCTCCTCTTGATTCAGGGATATATTCAATTCGACTACGTTTCAAATCCTATTGTAGTACCGTTCCTCCTTATTAATTTTATATTATCTTATTTTGGAAATGGTACAGTTGTGATGTATTTTCTCCAGTGAGTACGTAACGAGATGCGTTCACGTGGTGTCGACCACCGACCAGTCGACGCTTATGAGAACGTTCTCAGGCTTAAGTTAGGTTAGGTTGGGTAAGGTAAAGGTTAGAGCTAAGGTTTGTTCTTGCAATTAAATTAGCTGTGCTGTGCTACACCTTCTACGCTTGAAACATACAATTGACTTGCGAAAAAAGAGGAAAGATGGAAAGTGCGTACAGAAGGTTCAGCTACTAGAAACAAACCTTAAATCACCAGCTTCCTACTTCCAACTTCCAACACGCAACATTTTTCCCTAGCCAGTGTAGCCACGCCGGCCACGCGCGATCGCGATCGTCGAAATGGCGGAAGATTCAAATGCGCGTTCGATGTGTTTAATACCTTTTTGAAAAATCGCATGTTTCATTTCGTATGCACTTTAATATCCTTTGCTTAATTCAATTTGCTCTGATAAATTGCGCGATTTTGGCCGACGTGTTTGTTGCAAAATAATTCTCATAATTAATTCTGGCGCTTTTATAAAGCAAATTAATTTTTGGACACCTTATTACGCTCATATAATATACATGTTTGTGTGACACATGTGCGTGCGTTACATACATTATGGATAGCGATAATTACGTTACATACATACATATCTGTGTGTAATTTCTTTTACAGACACAGATAAATAAATACGTAAATAAATGCGAGGAGGTTTGTGTACATTCCATGTATAAAATAATAAACGATACGAGCACTTGGAAGCAGTTGGAACCTCCTCGTTCGAGACGAGACGAGCTACACACGCTTGCACACGCTCCTCGAGCCATCGTGAGCCATCGTCTCGAGCGTGTGCCGTGCTCCGTGCTGCCGTGTCGTATCGCGAGAGCCTTCTTCTCGGAGTCGGAGTGTCGGAGAATATACCCGCACATACGACATATGCCATACGCGGGTGTGTTTATGTACGTGTATATTTCTGGCCAAGTGAGAGTAGTGAGTAGTGAGACCAAGGCAGACTGAGGCAGCTGGCAGAGACGGCAGAGTGCAGACGTCCGACGTCGCGTTCGTCGACTGCTCGTCGACGGACGTCCACAAGAAGGGCCTAACGCCACACTCGTGTTCGAGGAGGTCATCGTCGGCGACGGGCGACTCTGAATCATGGAACTCTGAAAAGGTGAAAAGCCGTAACCGCGGAACGCGAGTTGGATCGAGTTGGTCGACGTGTGTCTCGTGTCTCGATTAAGATATCGGTACGAAGTGAATCAAGTCTCCACAAGTCTCTCAGCTCACAGAGGACATAGAGCGAGCTGTGATGCGAGTGTCGAGTGCATGCCAATGCCCAGGGTGTTGGTACTCTCCCGTCGCGAAATTACATAATGTATATGCATGAGTCACGCACACGGTGTGAACTGCAGGGGAGGAGAAGGGGTGGACGGGACGTGCAAATGTCAAAGTCATACGGCGCGATCTCGCTACTCGCTACATAACAAATAAAATTAGCCGGCTCGAAACTCGGAACTCGGCTGCTTGGCTTCTTTCTCGCTCTTCGACAGCTAGTTTCCGCATCGTTCGCAGTCTTAATTAGCACGTAGACCTCTTGGTTTAATATGTTTATATCCCGTTCTCGTTGATCGTGCGATGCGCTTTGCCAATTTTGCCATTGGAAATTCCTCGGAGAATACGCTCGATTTTCAGCCTGTAAAACGCATCGACACTGGTCTTTTGTACCCTAGATTATCGTGCTAATATCGCTTTAATAGTGGTGCTTGTATTTATAGTCGTAGAGATTAAAGAAATCTTAAAGATTAAACAATTTGACAAGCAGAAATATATTTCGACGATGCTCCACCCTCCACACACATTGTCCTATATACGATAGACTCGAATAACAGTAATTCAAGTTGTTAACGATATGTGCATTTTTAAAAATTACTTCTATTTGAATCTAATTAAATTCTACAAGATTATTTGTGTGAGTTATGTTTTTGTTAATCTTGCAGGTAATTCCAGGGAACTTTCTAGAATGAACAAAGAATAATAGTTCTACGGAATGTTGTCGGAAAGTCATTGCGAGCAATGATACAAATCAAGACTTGTCGCATCTATGGGTGACGTTTCGTAGCTGTTGGAACATTTCTATGTACTTTTATATCAAATTCAACGATTATTTATTTGCATTTTGGCATTGAGAAATGCCAGCGCCATCCCCGACTTTCTCAAGCTTGCCAGAAACACCTATGTGTGAGAAAACGGAAGTCAATGATACCGACTCTCTGCCCCCTTGGGCCAAAATCACGCTTACATCTGCAGAAGCTGAAATTGAAAAGCTGATCTCGCGAAATGAGTTGAAAGACGCAGAGGTAACTTACTTCTGTCAAGTGGAACCAATTCTTCAAGATGGCCCACAGTGAGTATTATTTTGACTTTTAATCGTTTAGAGCCTTTTATTCAGAAATGCTATATGTAATCTTTCTGCTTCAAAAAGAGAAAAAATGTTATTTGTAATAATTGTTCCTATTTGCACTTTGCATCAATTCTATTACATAGTTATACACAGATTCGATTAACATTTAATTAATATTTTTCTACTTTTTGAATTATAATTGTACAAGTTATCAAGAAAAATGTTTTACAGGTGCGGTTTAGTGGCGCTTTCAATGGCATCGCAAGAATACACAAAACCAGTTTCTGTGAATCAACTTCTCGCTGAAGCTCGTGTTCGAGGATTCACCCAGCATGGCGAAGTATATAGCGTTGATTTCATGGGGACATTAGCTGCGGAATATTTGCCCGATCATAAACCAGATATTTTAGTAGATTTACAACAGTGCCCGGACACGTTAACTCATGCTTTAGCACATGGAGCAATGGTGTTGATACCATATGATTCTGACTTCAATCACGCTCCATGTTTAAAAAAGGGTCATAAAGCGCATTGGGCATTGCTTGTGGGTCTAATCTCTTCTAGGTATAATCTATAATAACTAAGAGATTCTAACGTGCTGTTTCTGAATTTCAAATTAGATTATCAAATCATTCAAGCATATTTATTTATTTATTGCATATAAAGATAAAAATAGAGGTTTTTCTTTCCGAATTACTTTCAGAATCACTTTGTGCATTTTTTGATAAATGAAAAATCTTATGGAAAATTTAATATGTGTATTGAAGTTTTCTTCAAACTTATTTATTAAAATTTTATTCAAATTTATTTATTTATATTGTCTCTTGCAAGCATATATTCTAAAATAAATAAAAAAAACTACATATTTCTATGATATTAATATTTTTAGACAAGGATATCACGTTCTGGCACGTCATGGTAAATCGCGTCATCTGGCTTGTTGGCCCTTACGCGACTTGATTGAAAGTAATGGCAACTTGGAGGAAGAGGGTACAGCGCGACACGCAGGAGGATATGTTATACCAAAGGGTGGCGTCGGAGGTCAAAAGGGTTTACGCGGCAGAGCACTGGCATTACATCCATACATATAGAGTTATATCAAAGAAAATTGTAGGTAATTGATTTCATGCTAAAAAGAAAAAAAAATTTGCCGATACTCTGTATCCATATGTGCTAAATATTCGAGATATAATATTTGCATATACACATGGCTTCAATAAGAATCAATTTAATAATTATGTGTAATAACATGCGACGCTTTAATTAATACGTTATTTGAATTCGCGCAAAATGTTTTACATAATGTTAGTCTAATGATATATCTACCAAAAAGCGTTCGGCATCCGAGATGCAATTCTAAGTGGCATTATTTTCATTTTACTGGAATTATACGATGTAAATAAGAATTCCGGCAGGCCGAAATATGTGCACGCAAAATATAAATATAGACGATTGTCTCTCTTGATAGTAAATTATGTCCTATTAGATTGAAATGCGAAAGTATACGCGCATGCATAGTAAGACAAATGAGACATATAAAAATGTTTACGTAAGTAAATATATATGCATATATGCGTGTGCGTGCGTGCGGGCGTGTGTATATGCGTATATATAGCAAGTTATCGAAAGTGATAATTCAGAAAAGAAGATCTAAGTATATTTCTTCAGATAGAATATGTGTAGGCTTTCAACAATTGTGGTTTCCGTCTTATGTTAATGCAACAAATAAAGAATGAATGAATATTATATTAAATCAATTTTGCTAAACTCTACATCTTACTATTATTTGTAATAAATAATGGCATGCTGTATCAGCTTTAATATACAAGTTTTAAGACGTTTAGATATATCATATACAGCGTGTTTGGTTTAAGTTAATTAACAGTTGTTTATCTTTAACTCGTGGAGATATAAAAAGTTTATATATACATATATAGATTGATAGCAAAATACAGTATTACATGGTTTTTCGTTATGTTAAAAAACCACGTGACAAAATTTTATTTTTTAAAAATATATGCTGATGTTTTAATATTTATTTATTGCTACATAAAACTTAGTAAATTTTTTTTAATACACATACACGAATGCACACACACACACACACACAAAACACAAAATAAAAGACTTAAAAAAAATACTCAATGACTGGCTGGTCTTTTCAGTCATACAAAAATATTCCATACATTTTATATAAAATCTGTCAATATGATACTCGTAATAATGAAACAAATTAAAGAGATGCTATAAATTTGTAGACTTGGTATAGCTTCGAATTAATCAAAAGAAGCCTTTAAAGTAAATTCTACCTAAGTGCCGTGAAAAGACCGAAGTCCATTTATAATAGGAAATGTACACTGCATTAATATACATTGCCCAATTTTCAAGCTTCTCCTATTATATCATTGCATCATAATCAAAATACATTGTAAAAATATTTATTTACATGATAATAGACATTTTTTTCTGGATTTTATATGCATCCAGACAATACAAGTGATTAAAAGTTGTTTAAAAGATAGAAGGATGTTTTCTAAGTAACTTTATGATATCTTTTAAATATTTGTGTTATCTGGATAGTATCAAAGTAAATATCTTCCTTTGCGAAAATTATCAATATAAGCGCGATATACTATATATATATATAAAAGTGTAAGAGATTAATGTCTTCCGTTACCATCGCGATACAGTCTTCGCATAAATCTTCCGCAAAATGGATAAGAAAAAGAAATATAATAAGTATAATCATATGCTTTAAATGTAGCATAGTCTATTAAAGATTATATTGACCTCTGTGTAAAATTGTTTAAATTATAAAAATATACCACGACTTCTTTTTGTTGAGCTAGTAATTTTAAAACTGATAATTATAGCCATGTACAATGTGTAGAATGCAATATTTATTATCACGACGTTATTGTTAATGTTTGTTATGTATGTTCGTATTTATGTTATTTATTAATATAGTCTTTAATTTAAACTTGAAAAAACAAATTTATATATAATTTTGTATTAAGCAAAATGACTGTATCGGATATAATTGGTGCTATGCTCGAATAAGTGAGAATGATTGCTATACTCTTTCCTGGATCATGATCTATGAGAAAATTTGATTTTCAAACTATATGAGATTAATGTGCAACGATTAAACCTAAGAAACTCTGCTTATAGAGTACATCATCGGTAATAATAAATGTATATATCATGTAACACAAAATATACTAAGAAATGTTATGTTTCAATATTGGAAATGTTGATTGTAAACTAATTGTACATGTCAGCAGTGTATTCTTATTTCGTTGTTAATATACCATGTCATTTTCTTTGTATATACATATTTTTAGTATCATATTTATACTCCTCTCGTATCATATACCTATTAATTTACTAATGTTTAAATTGTGATATCAATTTGTTATATATTGATAAATGTTATTTCAACTTATTTGAACCACTTGAATTTGTATCCAAGATATGAGACTTATTGATACACTAAATAGGACTTGAAACTGTATTAAAAAATCATTATTAATTTCTGACAGAGTTTTATTTATATTTTTAGATATATGTGTGGCACTTATACATATATAGAGTGTGGAATAAAAGAATATTATTTTGATAATATTTTAGAATTGAATAAAATTGACAATTTAATTATTTAATATTAATATTGCATAGGATATTTCTTCTAACATAGACATTTCAAGTTTTCGTAGCTATTAAAAATACAAAAAATGTCTCAGATTAAATATATTCTGTTTCGAGAAATTTCTCTTATGATTAGTATTTTATTCTAACGGAAGTCATTTTCATGAAACTTAAAGACCTTATGTCTTTTAAATGGAAACATAATGTTTTGTATATAAATCGATTTATCTGTTTATTCAGCATATAAAAGCATTAAGGTAAAATAATTGAAAATAGTATACAAGGTATTTTATATTTTACAAGATACTTCATATTTTATTATGACATAAACTCTAGCTTTTTTTATATACATCTAGAAATACCAAACTTCTCTGTTTAAAAATTTTTAAACGATATTCGGGCCTACAATAAGTCAACAAACGTAAGTACCATGCGTTATACAATATTCATAGCATATATAATTATTCACAGAGTATACTTATTTGCAATAATAATTTTGATCATTATTTAAGTTTTTTCGGCTAAATGTGAATTATTAAATGGATGAAATAGGGCTCCTTTACTAAAAAATTTTACTAATTCAAGAAAATCTACAGCAATGTAATGTAAAGCATATATACATATATAATATTCTATCAACAATATTTGGGATTTGGATAAAAAAGTAGCTAGCTATGATTTGTATAAATTTATTTCAGTGGTTTTTGGTACTTGACCGTGTGTTTTGATCTTAATAAACCAATATGTAACTTCGAAAAGCTGTAATTCTAAATGCTTCAACATTTCTCTACATTGACAATGAATCATTATCTCTATATATCTATTCAATTTATCTAATAATACATTTATATCGAGTTCATAATAAGTATACTATTCGCTCTTTCTCTCTGGCACTCTCTCTCACTCAAATTATTATACCTTACTCAAATGAGATACTCAAAAAAGGATATAATATATAAATATAAATATCTCACATAATATCGCGATAGACAATTTTATCGTCAAGTGTCGAGATACTTCTCTCATACATCTCTATATTATAAGCTGTACACTACTGTCGAGCATATCGATATAAACATTTGAAAAGCATTTTTAACAGCAAACAATGTATTCGTCGTCAAACACATATCAAATTATTTCAACACTTTACATCTTTTTTATTTTATTACGTATCCACATATTTAATATTTAATAGTCACACAGGTAATATTTAGGTTGACAGGTGCAAAGAAATAGATTCTTGCATATTACTGTTTTCTTTAGACTTGATTAATTGAAAATTATTTTCGGATGTAGGAACAATAGAAATAATTTTCGTAGGCATGCGAAATTTAGTTATCCCAATTTTATCTATTTCACATTAAACTGAATTTCTTTTTCTTAATAAATCTTTTATTTACTCACTCTTTTATAAGAGTGTATTGATAACAATTTGTAATGTGTACAATAAGACGTCGCATAGTTAAGCACAATAAAAACGTCTACGGTTTGAAAAGTCAACCGCCATCTAATAATTTTTTATTTTACGAAAAGCTTCAATATATTAGTTACGTCTTGTAATTATTGTAAACTTTGAGCCGGTTTGTCGATATGTGATAAAACTCGCTATACACAAAATAAAAATGAGAATTTTCCGCGACAAACCTGACAAACGTGCTAACGGTCGTTTGCAATAACGTACAAACATATTGACAGATATTGAACCAGGTAAAGTGGTATTTGTTTTTTATTTCGTCCCATCATTAACGCGCATTGATCATACAATGAAGCACTCACTCTCATATTTTGACTAGAATCCGAAATCTATTAGCGTACATTAAACATTATACCTGATATCCTTCACGAGGCTTACTTTCTCTGAACTGCGGATTCTTTGTGTGATTAATTTCGAGTCGATTTCTTTTTACAAAAATATTGGATTATACATGATAGAGAATAAAGGACCTTTTGATAACCATGCTTCAATAAATAAATTGTACAACTGGACCGTGAGCACGTTATTGTTATCCTTATAATATCTTGCATTACGTAAAATTATCTTTATATATATAAATAATACAAGAGTCAATCGAGTGGTGTTATAGAAAAAGCGGTAATATATAAAAAATGAAAAATCAATAGATAATAATGTAATATGAAATGATAGAGGAACTACTATAATTCATATTTTAAAAAAGGAAACAATACTATTCTTTGAGTACAGAAGTTCTGTAACTATAGGCTCGATTACTCTCTAACGTATCTTTGGTATCGCATTTACGAAGTTCGGAAGCACAAAACGCAGAATAAAAAGCAGAAAGCTAAAACCGATAATTCTTTTCCCTGTAAACATTCAACTTATATATATGTGCTCCGCGAAACTAACACAATAAGTGAATTAAAAAGAAGCAACGAGAGAATTGAGTTTTTGATCTTGCATTCTCGATTTCGAACATTCATCTTCGATCTAATTTAATTTTATTCTAATTTAATTTAATTTCTTTGATTCATCTATCCCTTTCGCAGATAGATATATTCGCTGTGTGTCCTCTACACGCACTGGATGCATTAACATGTAACAAGCTGAGATTTGGCATCCTCTGGAGAAAATGTTTACAAGAAATACACACAGCACGATCAAGTGAAAATCATGACACAAAAACATTACACGAGGCACTGAAGAAACAGACAAGAAAAAAACTCATTTAAATTTACAAATGTTTTGTCAAAAACTTGAGAATACGTACAACTATATATGGCAGGTTTAAATGGACTTCGTTCCATGAAACAAGACATTTTCTCTTGAAGATGCACGTGTCGTGCTCATTTATGCGCAATACGGTTTGTTTCTTTTTCTTTTTTTTTTTTTTAATGAAAAGTATAGTTCGTTCTGAGTTTCAATGTCGCATATCATTCGCTGCTGCAAGTTTCTTCATCAAAGACTACGTTGTTATGGCCACACGTTACTTGATATATCATTTTCGATATATCAGGAATTAGTATTTCACTCGGTAGGTTGTACAAACGGCAATTGTTTGTCATCAGGCATAAAAGATGTAAAATGTACAACTACGTATATCACTCGATATGCATTAACAATTAATTGTGGACTAGCAAAAAGAGGAGCGCAAACGGAGACATTTCATTGCTACTTTGTATACTTTGGCAAGATACAATCATCACCAGTGCCATCGTTTTAGTCGCACTAAAATTAGAGGATGCCGTTAAAGAGTATTTTTTCCCTTTTTATATTTGGAAACAAATCGAGTAGGCTTTTTTTTTTTAATTTGGCATTAGGCAGTCAAAGCGACAACTACGTCGCTAAAAACAGTACTTTACTACCTATACTGTCGTTCTTTTCATCAAATAATAAAAAAGATAGCAGTCAAAAAGCTGATTAGGATTATGTTTACATTAACAATATTGTTTCTTAATCCTTTCA